CGTTTGTTTTTCTTTTATTAGCAAATGAAGTCGGGGAAGGCAATTAGTCAACACTCCCTGTGGAAAAAAAGCTCTAGCTTTAAAATGAAAAGGAGTATTAAAATTCGCAGACACGGTTTTGTAGAAGAGATATATGGAATCACTCTGGCCAAATTTTAGCCAAATTGATTGAAAGGCTGCTGACTTGGAGTTCAAAACGTACGAGTCGATCGGCAAAATTTGCGTTCGGAGATAAAAAAGAAAATACTTTTTTGGCGGCATCCTACCTGGAATGAGATTATAACACCTAAATGTTTATTCTGATTGATATCAGAGAGGGATCAATTTTCTCTAACAATAGGACTTTGACAGGTAACATGTAACAGGAAAACTTCCACTCTTTTACAACACGAGAAGCACGGTTTAATTCTTTCTCGAGCAAAAGTTTTGCCTCTCCTTCGATCTTTTTTGTATGATTTGTTGATCGGCGCCAGGCCAAGGAAACTAAAAAATTTTGAAGCCGCCGAATGTCCACCACCGATTGCTCGAAGGCCAAGAACTGAGGTCCGGTTTATTTCAAACGCTCTGCTCTTCTCGGAAGAATTAAAAACAGAATTTGTCTTGTGCGACGGACAGCTTTCATTCTCGCGCTGGATTCTCCAGGTAGAACCAAGTCCATGCTTAGTCGCTACATTTTCCATGACTTGGACTCTTCCCCGGCAAAATCGACAAGATACAGACTCGTCCAGTTTCTCAAGCAGCTTTTCTCTCGATACGATAGCTCGACCGCTTATTGTTTTCCACGTTCCATCAGCAGATGCGGTCGATGAGCTTAATTGGCTTTCTTCATCTGGCTCTTCAAGCTGGATTTTGGAGCGGCTTGCACTCTCAGCAACTGCAGCATTTTCGCTTTTCTGAATATCCAACTCCTCGAGCCACTTCTCTTGCTGATAAAATTTTGCGGCCCATTCGATTTCTTTTTCGCTCTCGGTTTCGATGACGAAAACGGACACGACCTTTTCTTTTTTCTTGGCGGCATTTTCACCGAAGCAAACGCTAAATATCCACGGAGAATACTAAAGGCTATAAACAACGCGAAGACAATTCGCACGTGTTGTGTCCAATCACGCACTCGGAATCACGTTACTAGTTCACAGGCAAGTTAATTGATATGACACGGATATGACAGATCTTGTCAACGATCAATTAAGATAATTAACGAGAAAAAATCTTTTACCACCGATATCTTTCGACAGAAATAATATTTTCTTCTGATTTTTTTTTTGAAAGAAAGCTCTCAAGCATATCTATTTGAAAACGTTGAAACCTCAAATATGGAAAAATGGCAATTTTAAGGGTGGCTGATACCTTAACATATCCAATGTCCCAGTCAGAGAAATGGAATGTTTCATGCCTGTTAAAATATTAATAATGGCAAAAAGGAAAAAACATAGTGTTAGTAACTAGATTGATCAACAGACCAAGTTAATGTGTTTCAGATGTTTTTTCTCAATCTCGTTCCTTAGGGCTTCTTTGTTTCTGAGGGAAAAAGCGCTGATAACGAGGTTCATGTTTGTTGTGAAAATGTACACATCATTTAAAAGCAAAGAGATCGTACAGGAAATAAGGACTGAGGAGTTAGTTTCTCAGTGAAATAATAATTAACAATTACTGTAGTCTGTACACAGACGTTATTCTATTTTTCTTTTCGAAAAGATACTAGTACGCGAAAGAAACGAGCGCGTGAGAGCGAGGGGGGAGGGGAAGAACGACCCCCTTGCACTAGCAGTTAATAAATCCCCTTGGTTTTTATTTTCATACGCGCGCTCGACGATCTCTGAAGGGAAAATAGAGGGACTGTGAGTAGGCTACAATAACTGGATGAAGGCTGAGCATCATGAGAAGAACTTGTGAGAAGATGGGATGGGTTCGGGCGAATAACACCCTCCGGGATAATATTATTTTACGTAGGACAGACGCTTAGTTCACAGGAATCTTAATTGAAAAATTAAAAACCTAATGATGATAATCCGGTTTATAATAACTTCCTATTTGGGAACAAAAGGCCATAATTCTCAATCTTCGGTAATTTGAACAGGCTGGATTGTAATATCTCAAGATTTTATTGTACACTTTTTTAAAAGTGTGAATCGATCAATTTTTAACAGACAGCAAAATAACTTCCTTACTTTTTTTTATAAAGAAACAAACAAGTTTCCTTGTTTCCTTTTATTTGTTGTTTCTGTATCAGTCCCGGATATTCAGAATCAGCCAATTGCCATGCTAGTGCTATTATTTTTCAGCTATGTAAAGAAATATCGTGTGCTTTGGAAAAAAGAAGCAACTTCAGCTTTAATGTAAAGTTCTCTCCTATTGATACTCTTTAGTGACTAAGAACCTCGTGTCAGTAAAATCTGCTAACATTACTTGTAGGTAAAGTGTATCTGCAATCTGCAAACGTTTTCCGACAGCATCTTATGCTTCTAATGTATTAAAATAAATTAGACAAAAAATTATAGACAATGCAACTCTAACAATAAACAAGAAACAGGCAGTGACAGTAGATGTGACCGCGGGTAGCAACACCAGCAACACAGTGAGAACTGAATAACAAATTAAAATGAAAATTAAACCTCCTCAGCATACAGAATTTTATCATCATCATCATCATTATCATCATCATCTATCGAATAAAACAAACTGCATATGTCGAAGCGATTAGTCCTACTTGCGTCTGTCAAGTCTTAGGTGAATTTTTTTGTTGTTAAATTCTAACGGAACGTACCCAAGTTTATAGAGGAGAAAGAAAATTATTTTTGTGTGTGTTAAATCAGATCCTAGTAATACTTGGGAAGAGGATTTTCACGTGCAAAGGACCGCACAAAAAGAATCAAAAAGTGTGATAAGCATCCAGAGTGTTTGTCTTGCTTATTAGATCTACTGTTCTTTTGACGTTACCGTAGCCGTAGCTAGAATATAGAATGCTAATTAAAATCGGTAGCGTGGAAATTACAGAAAACATTTTCCTTACTCTCCTCGTTCAAAACTGCCTTCTAGATTCCGTTCTGCGTTTCCCTTCGTACCTTCCACTTTGATTTTTACTGTAGCATCCGTTCCAGCCCCCCATTTATCAGCCGTCTGGACAATTACTGTATAATCTGAAAGGACTGTAACCATAGCCAAATCTAAGTTATCGAAACAGACCGGTCAGACCGATACAACCAAAAATACCTGTAAAAACTAACTGTGGTAATTGTGCAAAGTAACATTCGCGAGGGAAGAAAACTCTACGGAGAAGATTCGGATGTCACAGTACGTACTATCACATACCTAACAACTTAAAAGACAGCAACAAAGAAAATACGGCAAGTGTAAAGAAGCAAAAAATTAAAATATTTATTGCTTAAAAACCGCTTTAAAAACTGTTAATGACTATGATCACTGCAAGGGATGAAATTCGTCCAGTAACGTAGCGATTAAATCTAAACCACCCCTCAACCACCGGGCAAAAGTCTAATCTCGGGGACTGTAATTTTGCCGCCGCGACGATGCGCTCGCTGCGACTTTTCAGAATAAGCAACGTTCACACCCTGCCGAATAGCTTTTCTTGGCGCCACGCGCCTGCGTCGTTCCCACATATCAAACATCGTGCCGGAACGGTTGACCGAGAGGGTTTGGGGCACTAAACTCCAGTCCTCGTTCCTGGATGGCCGAGAGGGCTTGGAGCACTAAATTCCAGTCCTCGTTCCTGAATGGCCGAGAGGGTTTGGGGCACTAAATTCTAGTCCTCGTTCCTGAATGTTTACTTCCGTCTCAGTGGGTTCCATTTCTCGCTCGTAATTATTTGCTTCCGCGACAATCCGAATTGGTGTTAACACTGCACCAAAGTGTGGCACAAAACCTATCTGATATGTCAGTAATGTCACGCTGCCCCTTCGAGATTGGCGTGGCGCAGCTTCGCTCCGTCACGTATCGCGTCGCCACAGCCGTTCATGTGAGTGACCAGAGGCCTGATCCGGTATGATTATTGTAGCGGCGCAAAAGCTATCCGTTGTAGTGTAAAAATAGCCTAATGTTCCAATTCCTTGATCGCTGCGATGAATATTCCAGCTTAACTTGTTTTTAGCTATCACTGCGATCACTTTGGAGACGAGGCTTAAAACCTCAATATTCTACAGCACTATCTGATATTTCATTGTTGTTGTTCGATGTCGTATTACTTAATAGCTTCATTTACCTGGAATACAGCTAAAGGAACCCTTTATGTTGACACAATCTTGGTTGGCGCCGCAGTCGTGCGATCCGTCAGTACATTCGTCTACATCTATTGAAATGAATTGAATACCGGAACACAAATATGAAAAAACCTTGATTAAATACTATTGTCATAGGGCAACTTGAATATCTTTTCATATAGAGTACACAAATCTTATTGTTATATAGCTGGAAATTGTTTTCCAACAGTGCGCGCTCTCATTGGTTACTTCGAGGTCACATGACATGAGGGGGGCAACATTGACCACTCCAGAAATACCATAACATACCGTAATGCTCTTTGTTTGTCACCCCCAAATTTTGCATAAGCATTGTTTACAGTTTCTCTTGGGGCCATTTTAACTCCCAAGAGAAACTGAAGACAATGCTTATGCAAAATTTTGGGGCAACAGACGAAGAGCATTATGGTATGTTATGGTATTTTCTGGAGAGGTCGATTGCAAAATCTTTGACGTCAGAGGGTAACAGTGTACTCGAGCATTTTGACCACCCGCGAGGGTGATTTATTTTCAAAAATTTCTACACGAAAGTGTGTTTCTTCGTGGGCTATTACTCTCTAGAAAGACGGTGTTTCGTCTTTGTCTTTTTTGTCGTTTGTTCATTCTCCTTTATAAGAGGTGTAAAGAATTCGACATCAAATTCAATCTGAACAAATACATCTTTTGTTCCTACCTGAATTGGACTCCTTATTTAGTAAAGTGTTTTCCTTCCTTGTATCTGTAGGTTCTACCTTTTATTTATTTATTTATTTATTTATTTATTTAAATGTATTTTTGCTTCCTCTTTACATACGGTTCTTTTGCCGACTTTATAGGAGACAATTATTGTATTGTTGCCCACTTAAAATAGCTCCGCTAATTGTGGGTAACATAGTCTTAAATTATTTGACAATTGAGTAAACTGTTGAATAAACTTGCTCCGAATATAAGCCCCGTTCTAAATTCATTTATTTCATTTATTACGAAATTTAGATCCGATTATAACCCTCCTCCCCACTCTTGCTCCTATTATTGAGCCCCCTTCTGAATTCGATTTATTGTGGCGTTTTGAAAACTAGTCCACAGTAACCGGTAATTGCAAAACGTATTTCATAAGCTCCCTCGGGTACAAGCCCTCCTAAAAAATGTATGCGCCCATGACTGTTTACAGTACTCCGAGGGTCAATTTTCTCACGGCAGCGGCTGCAGACGGGTTTTCACTCCGCCACACGCAAGTAATGAAGTTTTCCTATTGTTTGTTTCCATGCTCCAGGCTCATTTTGGACCTGTCAGTACACACGAGGGAGCGTTTTCAAGTTCGCTCAATTTGCCCCGGGAGCTTGCTCCCAAATATTTAACCGGTTAAATGTCGTGGAGCATTTTGCGGGGTGGAAATTCTGCTCCCGAAGATGAAGTATACCCATGAAATCGTTGGTACACACGGAGGAGCTTTTCTCCCGGAGCGTGCCCCTGGAGCATGCTCGGGGAGCAAAATCCCTCGTGTGTATCGGCCTTTAAAAGTGGCTGTTTAGAATACTCCGAGGGTCAATTTTCTCACGGCTCCGGCTGCAGACGGGTTTTCACTCCGCCACACGCTAGTAATGAAGTTTTCCTATTGTTTGTTTGCAATCGCTGAGATACTGTAACAGTGAAAAGATAACTCTAGTTACTTCAACCTTAGGCCCCTACCTCCTTTACAGTTTTCACCGTTGAATCCAGGAAGACAAATACAGCGATAATTTTTGTTTGTATATCCAGATTGACAGGTGGCATTGTATTTGCAGGGGTCCGCATCGCAGGCACTCTTAAAAGAAAAAAAACTATGATTATCATCACACTATTTTTAAACGGTTCCTTTACTTAACGTGACTTGAAGTTCAACAGTTGAGAGGAGTTTATTTGCCAGGCAAGTAAGAAGGCTTGACAGTTATTATAGATTGTGCAAGCATAGTTTTAGGCATTATTCGTCATTACGAGCATGATTTTCATCTATTTTCCGAAAAAAAGCACTGCTAGCATAATTTGCCATTTTGGCTAGTTTCGCATAACAAAATTGTCATTTTTTGATCAAACAACATTTTTTTGGCCCAAGACCAGTGTTACAGGCAAATTTAAGTAATGGGATCTTCGTCCCACATGAAGTGACGCTCAGTTTCTACAGGACCTACAGCAGGACTCAACGAATGCGCATAACTAGCTCAGTAGTATCCAAGATCGGGTTGTTTTTATAGTTGTCAGACCATGAAGTATGTACTCTTAAAGTTTCTAGATGTAGGTAGGGGTAAATTTGTTCGACGTTCTAGTTTAATTGTTGCAAGTTATTGAGGTGTTTTCACCAAATTTAAAGTGAAAAAAGCATAGTTTCTGTATTTTTTTGCTAAAACGAGCATAATTTACAAAAACTAGCATAATTATTGGCACACATAATTTTAGAAATATACGAGCATTTCTACTGGCATAATATGCTACTTTTGCGATCACAATCTATTGACTAGCGACGGTCACTGAGTGCGAAGGAAATTCAGAATAAAAACTCAGGAACTTACATCTGATCCACGATACAAGTAGCCATTTTTATCCAGAAAATCATCATCATGCCTCCGGTGAGTTGAATTGTTTAACTCACAGTTGAATTTCCCATCGACATCAGCTTTATTTTGGAAATTTATGCTGACGCAGTTGGGCTCAAGGTAACATAGCAGCTCACAAGTCTGTACGTGTAGGACTTGTTCAGTTCTTATGATGTGGTTTGCCAGACTTTTATCAGCAAAGAAGAAAAAACTTGGGAAAGCTAGGGTGCGGCAATCACCTGAAAGATTCAAACATATGTGGTCAGCACTGAATAATGAACTCGTATCGTGGGTGTGACTATTCTACGCAAAAGCGAAACTTGCAACACAGTTTTAGGATCAGTATCAATGTTAAGAAAAACAGTGCTCTGTGCACCCGAATCAACGCAAACCAAAAAATGACTCACGCGGTATAAGTTTTCTGTGGAAGCCAAGAACAGCGACCCACATTTCTAGGACAACAAACACGCATGAAGCGAAGAAACTCGGCTGATTCATGCGAACTCCTTTATTGTTGGCTAAACATTTTTCATAGTGATAGTCGTAGAACGACTACGACACAAAACACTGACTTCGAAATAATCGCTTGCTTTCAGTGTGTGACTTCATTATTAAATTAAACAAGGTTTATCACTGCGTTCATTTTGATATTATACTTACGATGACGATTTTATGGTCCACGTCTTTGCGCCCGTTACAGAGAGAACTGACACAACTATTAATTTTGCTCATGACCATGATTGCACATTATCTGGTCAATTTAGGGGAATAAAGATATTGAGTGATCTATTTTAACATTCAACATAAACGCCTTGACCAACTCTTAACTACAGCAAGCACTTTTTGAATGGGCCTGAAGATGGCAAGAAACCAAAAACAGGACACTGAAAAAGCCTCAATTTTAAGCGGGTTAAACTTTGCATACACACAAGACTGTTTACACACAAAACCGCCCTCAGGTTACGGCCATACCAAGTTTGATAAGTAGGATGATCATGAATTTTAACTGGGGAAAATAAAAATATGAAAATGGAAAGTACATTTATGTCTTTTTTTTGTTGTTGTTGGCGTCTTCTTGTGAAATAGCTCGATATGACCTGAACACTCGGGTTACATACGCAAAATAAAAGCCACTTGGTTCCCGGATGTATCGTGGTCATATGGCCACGGTAAAATACCCCAGTCTACAAATGTTTCTGATCCCCAAGCGCAAGCCGCTGCTAACTGTCAAATTGCAGATTGGCGTTTTGCCTTGTTTAATTTAAATTATTGCATAATTAATAGAAAGAGACAAAGATCCTAAGTTCTATGTTTACCAGTAGTTTCTAAGAGAGCACTCATTTTTGTTGACAAATTTACTGAATGAAGACACAATTTTGCATAACAACAGTCCATCACAGGGCTAATACCATTATAATTAGTGCTCTCCAGCTCCTCATGTATATAACTTTATGTCGCTGTGACTATTGTAGCTTTGAGTTATCATATGTCTAACGTTGAAGCATTTTGGCGTTTGAAGACTCAAGGTCATGATAGTCCTAAGTAATGACATCAAGCAACAAATATTAAGATGTGCTATATTGATTGAACAGTGTGTGACAAGGACTGGAATATTTGCTGACATGGGAGCAATTATCCCGGCACCTGCTAATGTAATAAGTGAACGATTTTCCATTTTCAAAGGCCGCTTGACTAATTTTAGCCGCGCAAGCTCCAGTGAAGCTTAACTATAAAGCTAAGTTCGGTTCACTTTGTGGCATTGTCTTCTACTGTATGTAACATAACTCAAGCAAAAAGACAAACAAAAATAACAAAACAAAAACATAGATATAGTAGTAGTGGTTTGAAAAAGACGCTCGTTAGTAGTGATATCCTCTGCAAGAGAAGTTGGACGCAATTAATACTGCTTTGGTATTATACCAAGTTTTGATCTCATCCGTAAAGCAAAACCGCGATATTGTAACTAGTGAAATTTAAAAAAAAAAAACTAAACAGCAATAAGGTACGTTTACGAAGTCACGAAAAGCCTGCACTTACCGTCCAAGCAAGCTGAGAGAAGTTTCACGGACAGAAGGAATGAAAAAATTCGAAAATGTAGGACTGGATTCATGATGCAGTCCTAGTTCACTCCGTTCGAGTTCAATGAATAATGCAAAGAGAGTTTATAACTAACTGGATGAAATGAAATACCCTCAAAAACTTCTGTGCAAAAACCAATATAAGACTAGCTAATACAGCTGCTTGCATCCCTCAGTTACCACAAGCCAAACTTTAACCGCAAGTTATTATAACATTCACCTGTCATTTTAAAACCAATAGAAATTCATGAGTTTTATATTACTCTATACCTTTCGCCTCGCACACCCGAATGGAAAACTAATTTCATATAAAATGCCGGACAGCTATTTGAGGGGTGCTGTCGCAATTTGTAATAACTGTCCATCGCTCTTTGTAATAGACTAAGCTGTCGAACGCTGCCTCAATTAATAAAAATTGCAGCGCACTTTGTAATTATCTTTAGATATTTCCTTTGAACCATCATACATTTGTCAGACGTGGACACGACAATGAAAGCCCAGGGGGTACTTAATACTCCCTATGACGGCCTATTCAGGGAGGCTCCGCCCGAAACGGGTACCTTTTTTCAGGCTTCAGGTATATGAAAGGGTAGGGAAATCTGTCTTTCTGTCTCTAATAGGACCAAAAAGGGTTAACAGACGCATTTTATGGATTTAAAAGAGACAAGAAATTTCCTGATTTAGTGATTTATTCATATTAAAAAGACGATGTATTTGCTGCAGTTAAAAGGGATGCAGTGTTCCGACGTAAAAACTTTGTATATAAAGGGGGTACCATCTGTCAATAGAACGTATACGAGAGGGGTGCCTTTTCTGTCAAATATGGTATATAAAAAGATAAGGGGTGCAAACTTGCAAGCTAAACGAGATAAACATTGTTGTGAAATGCTCTAACAGATTCCCTATCCCTAAACTTTAAGTCTCTTAAAAGTCTAGTTTACGGATAGGGAATCTGTTAGAGCATTTCACAACAATGTTTATCTCGTCTACATGCCAGTCTGCAAGTCTGCAGTCTGCGTTTGTCGCACACCGATTGTCCGATTGATCCTGTGATCAAGAAGTATCAACATGCAGCACAAGACAGGACAGGACAGAGCGGCTCCAGATTTTATAGTATTTGAATCGAAAGAGCACCAAGCTATGGGAGATGATTAAATAAAATTTGGTGCTCCCCTGCGCAGAGGCTCCCGCTGGGAGATTCCAATAAAAGTAGCAAAAAATATTTTTAAAAAGTGCGATGATTATTACAAATTGCGACATAACTGACGGGTTAACGACAGATATTGTTTCCTAGTAAAACTAATACTTACAGTGCAAATATCTGAATTTCAAATATAGGAACCGAGATACATCCATTCAAAGAAAATGAATCTGCACTCCATTTTACTAAGCCAAAAGTCTAACGCTTTCAGTTTGAATTCAACCTTTATTCTACACGCACCAAAATCACAAAGCAAGAAATAACCGTTTTCCAATAAGAAATGCCCCTTTATTTCAAAGTTCGAATTTCATTTGTGCCGAAACTAATGCAAATGAGCGAGAACAATAGATTTTCCTTGTTAGCATTAAATTCGGCACGTGAAGTCCGACGTTTTAAACGGGCTTAGGCCTAGCAATATTTTGTTTAAGATAAATACCAGCAGGGGTGGGTTACGGAGCCTTTAGAACTTTCTTCAAAGCCAGGCTTCAAAGCCACTGAAATATTAAGATTTCAGATCTTTTGGTAACATCAATGAAGTCAAGCGTACGCTTCAATTGGTCAATTTTTTCAATTACTGACGAGAAATCTTTCAACAAAATTTTCCATTTTTTGGAACGAGAAACCTTTGCAAAGAATAATTTATACACGCAATAGCGCATGCACGTGACCAAACATTTGTCACTCCCCGCTTCCCGCAAGCAAATTGAAATGTTTTTCTCTCAAGATTGTCATAAAAGAAATAGTTAACGCCGCAGCTGTGAAACCATCGAGTTATGGATGCTCTTGGAGGTTAAGTACTTAAGAAGCTAGAGTTGCAACTCTTCTGATTCTTCCGTGCTTATCAACCTCACACATGCATCCATAACGCGTTGGTTGAACGCTTTGCGTTTACCATTTCTTACATATAGTTTTCCATAAGGTTGAATAAATTGCTCTGGCCATAATGACGCTGCAAGGGTATCTGCTATACAATACATATCTATGTAGAACTGGACCACAAATACTCAGTGGTTTTTGTTCAGTTTAGTCTTGTGACCTATAGCTTGTAGAGCTTGCATTGCAAACTGATTGAGGTTCTTGTTGCTCAATCCTGCCTCAAAAGGTACTCAGATTTCGAAATTATATCATCCAGAGAGGAAGATTGGGAAACAAGACTAAACTTCTTGCAAACAATTGACTTATTCTGCATCTAATCTACTGTGAATAACTTCTCTACCAAAATAAAGCCGGTGCTCCTATGCAATCTACAGAACCTAAAACCTAATTCTGTTAAAGAGGCCAAGTCATGGAACTTTCAACAATTTTGCCAATTCTCATCTTTCAGCTCTTAAGTATAATCTGGTAAAGAAACACTTTCAGTGCAGACGTGATCATCATCAAATAACAAATAAGAATGATTTCTGCAGGGCATTTGTCCATTGGCCCAATCGCACTTTCATAAAACTTGAGACACACATGAAAAAATTGGGGCTGTTGTTGTTCGATTTTACCGGAACACAATTTGAATTAGTCTTTTTTCCGTTTTGCCCATCCATGCTTCCATTTAGCATTTTAATCAATTCTCTGAGTGTTGGTGAGGGCTGAACTTTCCTAAAATATCATGACATAGCCTCCTTAAGCTATTCGGAAAGATGTTATAAATCAAAAATACTTGACAAAGTTATACCATAAACACAACACAACAAAAACTAATGTCAGCTGCTAAGTAGAGATTCAACAGCTCTTTCTGCATTCCAGGAAAATGTTGACAGTGCAACTAGACTCTGAATCTGTGGGAAAAACAAAGAATCAGTAGAAGTTTCTGGAATCCTACCCACCTACCCCCCTCCCCCCCAACACAATGTTAACGCCAACTTCTTACACATACAATTTTTTTACCTTGATTTCTTGACTGTTCACAATCCTCTATTTTTCCCTAAGATCGTCGAGATGGAGCGCTAACCGATATGGGTGGCCATCTTGGTCACAAATGTACCGACGAGGTGGGAAACGAGGTTAATAATGGTGGGGGAGGGAGGCCTCTTCCAAAAATGTCCCCCTCCCCTTAAGTAGATTTGATACTTATCTCCAAGAAAGACTCATTACATTTGAAACCAAGAAGGCCGCCCACAAGGGTAGCTACTCGATCACAACGAAATTACAGAAAAAAAATATAAACCTTGGTTGCATGACCTCCAACTTCATATACTTGAGCATTTCCACTTTACGTTCAAGATCTCTATGGAGAATTGATACCATCATCCTTGCTAAAAATAATAAGCTCCCCCTTTCAAATAACCCACCCCTCCGCCCTCCCCCCTTCCCCCACCTCTGTGTTAAGCCTCCTTACAATCTTTTGCACATGTAATGGTATTCAAATGTGTTAATACCGGTAATTTAGTTCCCGGCTATTTATTTACACATTTGTCCCACGTTCTCATATTCATGGTAGAGACACAAGTTCATGTAATCTTTTGCACATTAAATTTAAGTACAATCATGTATTAAGGACCAACCTTCGAGAAACCCATTGAAGTTAACCTTGAAATCTTCTGTTCACAATCGAAATCATGCGCAGAAGGAGCTAAAACAAATGGCAAAAAGGAGAATGAGTAATGGCAAAATACGAAATTGGGATAAAAATGAATTTACTTTTACCTCCAGCAAACACCTCCGCCCAATGTCTGGCAGTTCTTCGGTAAATGTCAGGACTTTCTTTATACTGTGGAGAAAAAAAAAATGAAAAAACATTCACACTCTTTAAAGGGCAACAGTAGGTACAGTAGAATAATATGCCATCTGGCAAGTACCTGTCTTTAAAGACCACAGAACAGAGGTGAAAATGAGTGAATGCAGGCAATTTTTTGTATTAGTTGAATTTTCTTGAAAGTTAATTTCCAAGAGCCATAATACCAAAAGTGTGAGGTTATATTAATTTAGGATTCTTTCCTTGACACAAGGGTGACCACTCCTCATGCTTTACTCACTGTATGCCTTCTCATAGAGCATAAAAATTTTAGGAGATTATGTAGGATTTGTAAGGTTTTGTAAGCTGTAAATGGCCTCATGGTGGCACAAAATTGCTGTTTTGTCCACATTATCCACTTTTCATTTGTTATGAAATTTCTGATGATAATACAATTGGATGAAATTTGAGATCTATCGACTGTGCAAAATCACACCTTCATACAACATCAGAAGCCCTTTTTTTACTCTTTTTCCTGGACATTACCTGCTGAGCTACAACAGCATCTTGTGGGTCGTCCGGCTCAGCAGCAGACAACAAAGCCTAGAAAAGTTCAAAAGTATACATATAACACATTAAAGAAAAACAGAAAAGTATACACATAACATATTTTCATTTACTGTTCAAAATATTTGCATTTTTCACCTCACAATTACAAAGAAATTGTAATGTTATAATTCTAAAATGATGGAAATTGACCCAATAAATAAATTAAAGGAATTATCAAAATCTTTACTGCTTCCGTTCATTTGTTCTACTACCCAGCATCTGCTCTCAGCATTATCATTACAATCTGTAACTTCTAGTTGTAGAAATATCCTGTTCGTTTAATTGCTGTGGCAGTTGTTATGGCTGTTGTTTAACAATGCATGTTTCTTTTAGCCTTTGTTGTGCTTTGAAATAGAAAGGCTATAATAATTATAATAATTATTCTATTTTCAATACAATGTATACTAGCTGTGATACAGAGTTTGGAGTCTATCTTCAGATTAACCAGTCTGGTTACATAAAGGCCCAAGCACTTTCAACATCAGACTCACTGTTATTTTTAAACTGGGACTCATTGGTTCTAGACCGGGACTCATGACTTTTCACAAGATGAGTCCCAGGACTCACCATACCTTTTTGTAACAAAATCATTAATAGACATGCAGTGGATGTATTACACATGGGTTTATGATAAAGAAAATAATCAACTACCAGCCTTAAAATAATAAATAACAATATTGCAGATTATGTAATGTTACTACACTTGTCAAAATAAGAAGTCCTTATCCCACCTGTATTGACAACAAAACAGTGCGTAGTGTCATTGCTGCAGCCCTGAAAGCATAATATACATAAAATGTAGCTGCATTACTTGCTGCATTAATTTATGTTGTGGTTCGATTTTATTCTTGGTTCAAATCTTATTTTCCTTTCTTTCAAACTCCTTATCATACCATACCCAGACACCAAGGAAAATAAACTATAAACCAAGGATAAAATTGAATCACAACATGTACATATTGTACCTTGGGTACATATTATTGTTTGTAAATACAGTAACATCAAAACCTCAAAGCAGAAATGCCTTGCAGAGTGGAGAAGAATAACTCCTTGAAAAAGACTAGTTGAAGTCACTGCGCTTTACATAAACACGCAAATTCTGAAATTCAAAAGCCAACTATGTTTGCGTTTTTTGCTGCCGTCAATCATCTTAGCGGACTTCTTAGGAAACAGAAGTTTACTTTAACCGTTTCTAAAGGTCATGGTTTGTGATTTGTGATTGGTGGATTTTGATCCGTTTTGTGTGTTTCTGTGTTTCGAGGTTCGTTGCTTGTGATCTAATTATGATTGATGGCACTGAGTGAAAAACATAATTGTGACGCCGGCTTTTGAACTTCAGAGTTTGAATGTTTTATAAAAGCCCAGTAATAAAAATGCTTATGAAAATTATAAATACCACGACAAGCACACATTAGTGCCTTTACAAAAATCAAAAATTTGTTCCAATAAGTGTAGAGATAGTCATTTAATGGGAATGACAAAGAAAATTGATTCGACCATACCGCCACTCAACAGGGATAATGACTATAGCTTGATGAAATGTGAAAAGAAGATCTGCATAAAATCAAAGCTAGTTTAGCCGGCAATTTGAAATCGCACCTACACAGCTCCTGTCGCACAACAAATCTGAAGTAATTCTCCACATAATTAAAAAATCAACTCAATGTCTTATTACAGAATCCTCATACCATTGATCTTTTAAGATATCCAAACATATGGCTCCAGTCACTGAACTAATATTTGGATGCCAGATTTTAGTCAGAAAATGCACCTTAAGAAATAAAATAAAACAAATAATCATTGCATTAAAACTACACACGCGACAGATGGATGCTAAACCTGTCTACTCCAACATGCATAAAACGAAAGTTAGAGAAGACAAATTACCAACACTGAACTCTACTGAAACTTACGTAAGGCTTTGGAGCATACTTTTAATGAAGGTAAATAAAAAAACTACAGATTACAGCATTTCAATGTTCACAGCATTCACTGAACAAGAAGTCACAAGTCTAAAGTCATTCACTAGCTCTCTAAATTAATGGATTCCAAATGTTTATAATTGAGGTGTATAGGTTTATCCACTAGGTTGGCAAGCTGGTTCTGTGAAGTTAATTCATATTAACTTAATTACTTTCACGCAGTAGAGGTTAATACCTTTGGTGGGTTGAAGGGATATGACTCAGGAATTACAATATCCAGCTTGTAACTTCCACCTAAAAAAAGATTTTAAAAAAATCAACCACATTGTTGAGTTCTTTAACCTGGGATTTTAGAGAGCAGAAAGAAGAACCATAGATTTCAGCCTCTATCACATAAAAAAGTCGATTGTTTGATTTTGTTAACGATTAAAAAAAATAAGTGAGGAACTTTTAGACATTATATAAAGACAAACACCAGTAGACAAATCAGCTGCCACCACAGGTTCTTTCTGGCATGATTTTAGCATGTATGATGCTGTTCATGTGGCTAATATTCACACAGTTGGCTTGTTTATATCCCAGCAACATGGATATCAGCAGCATATATGAATTTTTACACACTAAAAACCATGCCAGAAAGAAACCTATGCCAGCAAGGTTAGTAGGGAAAACCTTGGCAAAGCCGAGGGGGTATATACAGCTGTATGTCCCTAGTCTGAATTTATTTTCAACTATAGTTGTTACGCATTTTGACGAGTAGGCCATGTCCCTGTCAGTATTTAACCCATCTTTATGCTGTTTGTTACCATGAGCTTCTAACCAAATTCTGGGCAGATTTATGTCATCAGTAAAAAATATTTGGGCTCAAATTCTGATGAAATACCCCAGGCAATAAGGCCATCCCAATAAAATGTTTCATTTCCCATCGCCCGACCGACCCATTTTTTTCGAAAAGTAAAAAAAAAAACCAGATTAACTACAGTGTAGTCAAAGAAACTAGTCAGAGAAGCAAGTACGAGCACACGATCTTGTTTTATTAAGAACAATTGGTATGATGTGATGTCCTTGTCTTTAATTAACATCGATACTACGTTTTTTAAAGGCTGTTTAGACATTTGATAGTCGAAAAGACCACGTTTCGAGTTGACTTTGTAACCAGGCATTCTTACTTAGCATCCCACCATTCTCTGGAACCTAGACCCCTTCAAGTGTTCATTCTTTTTCTTTTTTTGCCCAACCAACCGACCCACCATCACAAGAGACAGGGGGATGGGGAACGAAGCATTTTATTGGGATGGCCTAAGGAACAACAAGAGATGGCTATATTGCCGGGTAGCAAAACCTTGAATATACTACTCCTCTACCCTCTTCTAATAATCTTATCCTGTTGATCACCTGTCAAAAAGGCAGTTTTCTTTTTACAAAATTCATCATAAAGCAATCAACAGCCAACAGGGGTTTTTTGGGGGCAATTTTTCCATCTTTTTGCTTCAACAATTTGGCTTATTCATTTATGCTAATCATTTGAAATCTTCCATTCACTTTCTGAGGCTCTGCACTGGGATGTCATGCTTTCTGTAATGTCATTATTTGTCCAATAATCTTATTTAATGCAAAACGCGTTACTCCTCATTTTGGTTAGTAGTTTGCAGGTAACCTTGAGCCACTAAGAAACTGCGAATTATTTTGAATGAATAGTAGTGGTTTTTCTGTGGTTAGAGCGTACTAAAAAATGCCAGGTTACCAATGCAAACACAGCCTTGTACATTTTGGTTTCAAAGACAAATGCTTTTGGGCCAAAATTTAATAAGGTTGAGACCCTTCGGTTTGTCAAAACGTACATGTTAAAAAATCTAAGTTAAACAAGCCTTTAATGAAATATTTAACGATAAGTTACCTTCAAATGGTGTGTCGGGAGGCCCTGATATTTCGCCTCGTAATCTTGTATATGTGTTATCGATCAGCTCAACCTTACATTTGAACATCTACAAAGAGGAAAGCTTCGTTGAAATGATTTTCTTTTACTCTCAACAAAACATAAGCAAGCGTTCAGTTTGAGAAGGTGCAATACTTACTTCGAATGACGAGTATAAAACCCATTCTTAGTAAGCTAAATTAAGCTTAAATAGATGTGGGAAAACAAGTTTACATTATTGCAAGTTAGCATTGCCAAAGAAACAAGAAAATTCACCTACCTCGCCGTTTGCAGAAGCACCAATTATCTCTTTAAATTCTCTCTGAACCCTTTTAATAGCAATATTAGACATTCTAGAGTTTCCCCAACTGGTGCAAAGACAGAAAATCACAAACAGTACATCAGTAAACTCCTCACTGCACGAATTACAGGAAGTACACTGGGAAATTTGATGAAGTAACACGCATGCGAAGTACTGCAGTTTTGAACCAGGCCTACGCGTTAGGCATATCTACTTCCGGGAAAAGTCCGGGAATTTTTTGAGCCGTTGCGGGGGCTTTTCGACTTTCAGTTTCATTGACACCCAGTTTTCATGTGTCGGGAAAGCCCCGAAAAGGACTTGGATTTCACTGTTTCCTGACCTACCCGAACTACCCAATTCCCCCCATTTGTCCTCAACCACCTCAACGATATCGACCATTTGACTTTGAGCGGGGGTATAGTGATTTCACAAAAAAATATCCTGCAGACGATTTCGAGCGAAAAAAAATCTTGCAAGGAATACTTGCCATACAATGGCTTTGTGTGTCAGGGGAAAAACCGGGGAAAAATTATTACCAAATTCCCCAACCCCCGTAAAAGCGTAAAAGTCAAATGGTCGGCCTCTTAAAATAGGAGATACGATCTACGATTTCGAGTTTTCCGTCGGCAAAACTTAACACGAGAAACAAGGACACCCGATCGTCAGGGAGTAAAAATAACTTTCACTATTCTAAAAGGGCGTATTGAAAGTATATTTTTAGTGAATCTTGCTGTTCTATTTTTAGTCTTATTTGTTCAGTTCATTCATGATTTATAATGAGAATGACCAGTACGCCAAGAAAGTGTCCTTCAATTTGCGGGAATTAAAGTTTGTGAAAGGGCGATTTGTACATTTTGCTGAAACTACTTTTTGCGATTAGACTAGCCTACCCTCAGACGTCCTTTGGGGTTCGCTTGTCGAGACTGATGAATGCGTGACAAACGAACCCCAAAGGACGTCTGCGGGGAGGCTAATTTTAGACATTTTTCTTTCAGAGAGGTGTATAAGTAAACATAACATCAACTCATTCTCTCTTGGCTCATATCATGGCTGCCAGCAGGCAGATAGACTACGAGCAGTCTCTCTTTTTTCTTGGTCCGTCGAGCAAAACGCCCGAGACACGTAAATGACCACGCGCGTGACTGAAGGCGCGAGTGCCGCGCTCGCACGCGCGTGCACTCCCCTTACTGTAAATCTGAAGAAAAAGAGATACTGCTCACAGTCTAGCAGGCAGAGATTTTTCATGAGCGGTTTCCGGTTGCGGTCAGCGCTCGTGGCATCGGCTAACTTGAGATCAGGCCCAATTTTAGCAGCTTCCATGCATGCATTCTCTCTAACGTGCTGATCTCAGATTAGGCATCAGCCTGCGCACGCGACAAAAAGTCCTCTGGTACCCAGGGAACTGGTGCGGGTCTGGCAGTCTTGCCGGGTGGTAATCGAGCCTATGTTTGAGCAATTTTGTACGCCTGTACAACAACAACAACAAGATTTTGTTAATTTTAGTATGATAATAAGTGACCTCAATTAGAGGTATATATCAGACTGCAAACATTTTATTTACACTTAAATAACGTTGTTTATGTCACATGGTAGAAGACCCCCAAATTAGTGAGCAGACTCGCTCCCGTTGTTTTTTCCATTTTTTTGTCAGTTACTGACCCTGATCATATCTGAGACATCGGAGGGCCCCGTTTTACAGAATTTAAATCTCCACTTCATGAGAAAGTTGCGCAAGTTCAAACGGCTAAGTCTGTCTGTTGCCTTATGAGAGTGTCAGGCAAAAGAGCTTCGACAGTACTTACGATTTTACAAGGCTTACAGCAGGTCGTGAGGGCTATTAAAGATGGGGGAGCGTTAATGTTAACGACTGGATAAGACATTTGAGTCAAAAGTATTGAGGGGTAAAACAAAATACGACATTTCTGCTTTTTTTTATTAATGGCGTCGCCAGAACCGTAAGAAGTCCGGCAGCTCATTGCCTTGTTTTTCAGACAGATTTTAGTATCACGACTTAGGGTGTTCAGAAGTGAAACGACAATTCTTTTCATGTCAATGCAAATATCCGCTTAGGGAGTTGTGAACGATTTAAGAATTAAAGAAAACGCGGTCGTGCTGTAGGGAGTTTCCCTTTTTAGAATGGAACTACCCTTTTGGGAGATCGAATATAGCTTGAACCACCCCTAGTTCTCGTCTCCCTCTGGGTTAATTAATTCCAATTTTTAAACGAAAGTCCAAGCCCCGTCAAATTGAAGTTCCCCGCCGAGTTGAGAAGCCACAGACCGCGCTAACTATGTCTACAGAACTTCAAGAACTTTCTTCAATTTGGCACTTATTTTACAGCCTTCAAGTTTCCAACTCAAAGCGCAAAAGTCAGTTTCTTCTAAAACCGTTCGTTTCTCGCTTTCATCTTGCACTGCCAAACTATAGCAGTAGTACAAGTATCGTTCAGAGAATGCAGCCACTGCAATGAACGAATCCAAATCGAATGTGCGCACAGAATGGTCGATATCTAACAGATCAAGAATAGAATTTACTTGCTCTGTGTTGATGGACTGTGCATATAAATCACGAAAAGCACCCAAAAGCTCTCTTCTTGTGATATTCCCATCCCTATCCCGGTCATTTTTAGTAAAGTAATGACGAAATAGAGTTCTACGGCGATTGTTAACGCGACAGAACCTAGCCACGTACTGTAATGGAGAAAGCTGCTCAAGAACACGCATGTCCATTGGCAGTTCAAATCTGCAACTCTGTCGAGAGAGCGAGTGAGGGCCTTGTAACCATGCTTTTCCGCTGTCCGATCTGACTCGCTTGTTCTCCTCCTCTTCAAGGTTGCCCATGATCTTAAGCGCTTCAACAGATGCTGCACGGGGCCCAGTCCCGCTCTGCGAGGCGGGAGATGAACTGCGCGAAAACTTACTGTTTTGATCACGCATAACGAGATACTAAATGCGACGCTTGCTATAAAATCGAAGATCGGTGGTTTAGTTTTCGTCACTTAGGTCTTGTTTACATCATACCATTGTCATATTAAAAAATTAAAAAGCCACTTTCATCGATGTAAACCTGAGTCAGGACGCCGAATCCCTTTTTGATCGGAAAAGGGAATTATTCCGTGGCGGTGCGACCATCAAATACAACTGCAACAAAGAGCTAGGGCAGCATAGAAACCGTGTAAATACAATCACATCAACACAAAACGAAGCTTTGACTGTCGCTTTGTGTTAAATACGTTCTTCTTTCTACCAGCAAATCCCGAATATCTCTTCTTTTCCTCAGCAAGAAAAACCTGAAACAGATAGAAATTTTGTGAGCATGCAATTCGGCTTCACATACAACAAGTTTTGTTCTAGGAGAAAAGAAAGCTATCTTTTCTAAATTAATCGCTCTCGATAAACGCACCACCTCTAATTTCTACTTACCTTCGACATAACAAAATGACTCAATAATGCAGTCGATTGTTCTCATTTCTTTCCATCGCAGAGGACGGGAAAAGCAGATGTTTGTTTTGAGAAAATATTTCTTGTTATTTTCTACAGAAGGCACTTAGTAACAACAAGTTGATCTTCAAGCTTCTTTTTAATGAGTTCCTCTCGATCTTCAAAATGACATGTGCTTTTTAATTCCACCAATGTACACAAGGAACAATGTATTTGCATTTCTAGATATTAAAACGTCCATACCGCGTTAATTTTTCTGTAACTAATGATTCGCTTTACACAGAGTTACTTTTATATGTGAAATTTTTATTATGTGCTATGGCAGTGGTTTTTTGCCGCCAAATTACCAAAAAACGTAAGCTCTCCGAGATCATGAAGTTCATAAAGATGTTTCCAAAAATATTATAAAAGTTGAAGCCAAGTTAGAAACAAGGTAATGTTTGTTTAATTGAAAAAGAAAAGTTCTGTTAATCTGAATTGCAAATTAGTGACGATTGTACGAGTGTTGTGAAGTTTTTAATTAATGCTTATATCAAACCAGCTTAGGGGCGGACCATTTGACTTTTGGGGGCGAGTATGGGTGATTTCAGAAAAGAATATCCTGCAGATTGATTTCGAGGTAAAAAAAATCTTGCAAGGAAATACCCGACATTCAATGGCTCTTTATGTCAGGGAAAAGAAAATTCTGTCACCAGAGGTTTGAGGGGAAAAAAAACGCAAACCAAATCACCCATACCCCCCCCCCCCCATCAAAGTCAAATGGTCGGCCCCTTATGCCTGTAAAAGCTTGCCCTCACTCTATAAACGATAACTTTTAATAATCAAGGATTTGACTTTGAATAATGACTTTTTATCTGCAAAATTTGATGTGGATTACCTAGAATTAATGTGTCCGGTCAATAGGATCGATTACGATGAAAAGAAATTTGAAAACTAGAATGAATGACGATTTCAATGGCCCATAAAGACAAACTCGACTTGACGTGTAAGGCCCAGGTCAAGACGCCAAACTTTTCATAAGTACATGAAAAGTTCGGCGTCTGAATGTCAATTTAAACGGAAGGGCTTTGATTCAAACGCCGAACTTTTCGTGTCCCGATGCATAAATTATCATCACGTATTTCGCAAGCAGTTTTACCGAAATGAGCATTTTTCTCCTTTTAAATTTTGTTCGCCTGGAATTAAGATCGGCGTCTAAATCAATTCAGCCGATCTAAATAATTTGGGTCGGCCTTGATTCGAATTAGGTTCGGCTAATGAAAAGTTCGGCGTCTGAACTGGGCCTAAGAGCGAAACCCATATATCATCCGTGTTAATAGATAGAGTGTTCAGCATAAGGCGCCGGCCACCGATCGATCAAATACTGCTTGTAGCCCAAATCATATTCAGTAAAAACAGGCTTTCTATGGAAACGCGTCAAAAAGATGAATAACGACTACTAAGAATATAAGAACAGAATTTTTTTCTCTCTCGTCTAAGAAATTAATGGATTTTTTACAAGGGGGAGATATAGCCAATAAACACATTTCACCGATTCCGTTTAACTAATGAAGTCGAATTCGAAATTATCTATAGCTAGAGAATCTATATTGGTCAGCCCAGTGTGGCCAATTTTTAGATTTTTTTCTTTTGAGAAGAATTTGCAATTGAAGGGCCCTTAAAGAAGAAGAATTTGCATTAGAAGGGCCCTTAAACCTGTTCCCGTAGCATTTGAAATGCATGCCTCGTTTTCCCTCCAATCCGAAGGTGTGACTTTCAAATTCATCTTGAACTGGTTCGATAAGGGTAGTGTTCCTCTACCGAAGGGCGCACCCGAATTCCCCCCTCCCCCTTCCCGTTCGAATGACTGCACCAATGGCTAATACACTTCTTCAACTGGGGGCGACGGGGAGGCGATGATCACGTGAGCTGTGCCACCAACAAGTCCTCGCTCCTACAGGTGAGCAAGCAAGGGGAGTATCGAAAGGGGTTCGGACTTCTCTACCCACCAGACTGGAGGATTTTTAAAGTCCTTAACTGCTTTGTGACTAAGGTGATAAAAATTCTTGAGTCGCACGCAAAGACGACTTTCTTTTCGTACTTTACAAAGGGAAATAACGTTGCACATAATGTGCACTGTAACAGTGATCAGGGACTCTTGTTCAAATTGACGAAATCTGACGAAATTATTTCTTCCTCACTAAACAACCCCACGCACATGTTTTAAAGTTTTTTTTTCTTTATGAGTAGAACGTCAACTCCTGCTATGCTTAAGTGTGCACAAGTTGGCCCACCCTACCAAAATTTTCCCGTACCGCCCCTGGCAAGTCGAGCATGTACGTGAACCTTGTGAGCTCGCTATTTACTCAGGGGGAGGGGATGGGGGTAAAGGTAGCTCTAATTCCCTCCCTCACCCTCCAGTCCCTGAGTCGAGAGCTTGCTCAGGCTCCTCTGATATTTCATTTACTGTGAACAGAATAAGAGACGTATGCTTTCAAGCCCCTGTCGTACACTGGAGCTTTTTCAAAACAAAAAGTAAATGAAAAGACGCATTCGTGGTTCCACACATCAATAGTTTATGTACATTTGTATATATGCTTGAAAGGTTAGTTTTTACAGCTATGTTATAAATAATCATCTTCCTTCCCTACTGAAAATAGTAATTTATATCATAAATGTATAATAACGGTACACTATTTTTTAAATAAAACAGACTTTGTTCTACTCTCTCCATTTAGTGATCCACAGGAAAATTTCACACAAAATTAGATTTCTAACTCAACCGAAGTTTTAAGCCACATGAATGACTAGAGGTAAGATCATTCGTATATAAGGCTATGATCTGTACTTAATAGCGCGACAGTTTCCTTTCTTATTTTCCTGTTATTTTCCACTAAAAACTCGAAACTATGATCAGTCTAAACAAGCGTTTTTTAGGACGCCGGTTTCGACGCAGGTTCTACAGATAACCGTGATATAACCGAACCAACTCGCAAAACTGAGCTGCCATCCTTAACCTGATACGGAGATTCAACAAGTCCTTGGAAATAAGTAAGAAAAACTACAACCATAATTGGAGTTCATTCATCTTCAATGAAAGTAAAAAATTACAACCCTTTCACGATCCTTCACTCCGAGGGTTCGCTACCTTTTCGAAGTTCTGGATTTTAAGAACGCGGACAAAATCTTACGGTGTGACCATTCAAATGAAAGCTCCTGAGCAGAAATTTCCTGTGGTGAAGTTTATATTGCAATAAAAGGTGGTTCTAACTTTGATTCTGTGGATGAAACTCCTAGATGGGTCCATTCAGATGATAAGCACTTAGAAGTAATATCCAGTGGTACTGTTTGTTATGCCGTAGAAGTTAGCTCTAACTTTTGAGTCTGTTGATGTAAATCCTATGATGTGACCAAATGAAACCTCTTTACCTGTATTTTTGCACTGTATCATTTGTTTCTCAGTATTTTACAACAAGGAATTATTACTTTAATCACCTCCGGGAATGAAAAAGATACCCTAACACTAAAGCAGTGCTCAGAAGTCCGGACGTGATCAGTGATATTCTAATTGGCTGGCAGTTCTGAAACTTGCGCGTTTACAGTATAGAGAAGCGACTCGTTCGGCAGCAGCGTTGTGGTCGCTAAAAATGCGAGAGAACAAAAATAAGCCGTTTCGCGCACGCACTGTCACCAAGCTTAGGGAGCTTAGACAACGACGACGGCGGCCGGCAACGAGAACGGCAAAAAGGCAGACGGGTTGGATAAAAAAAAAACTTTGCACGTGCATCACGCTGTTTTGTACCTTTCTTTGCCTTTGCCGTCGTTACACAACCACAAAGTGAAACTGCCTAATTTTTCGTTTTGTGGAGGGCGTGAAACACAAGACAAAGATTTTCTATTTTTTTTTAACTTAGATACAGTCCTTTGGAACTCAACTATAGAAAAATTCACCAATGTAATTGACAAATTGAACGACATGGAATAAGAGCTATGAATTTAGAGGCAGCGTGAATTCACCGTCGTCGTCGTAGTTTAAGCTCTCTAATAACGCGGGCTAACATCTCTGCTAATTCTGCTAGGGACAAAGACTCGCTTGAACTCACTGTTAAGAGTCAGGCTGTAAGCAGCCGGCCATTTTTTGTTTCCCGATAATGTCAGCTTATTATAACTTATTTTTAGGATTTATGCACAAAACCAACTTACTGAAATGGCAAATTAACACTGAGCGTAAAACTTTTCCATGAAAGAAAAGAAAACAGTGACGACATTGATCACTGAAAAACTATCTATAGTCACTTTTAGTCACCATTCGTCTGAAGCCGAAGTCCGACGGATGTCTTCGTTTTCTTGACCCTGGCGGTGGTATAAGCATGAACTTGGTGCTTTTCCGAGTGCTTGTTCCATTCCTGTTCGCCATGATCTTCCTTAATGTGCCTTCATATTTGAGCGCAATGAAATAGTTCCTGTTTTCAAATGCGAAAAAGTCTCCTGGTAGCTGGACGTTGAACGTGGATCCTTTCTCGTCGGGTTGGGTCTAAAGAAAAGAAAACAGTTATTCTTAGTAAAATAACTTTAGATTCGAGGACGAGAAAGCCTCATTGTACTTTTGAGTCACCAAAAAAGTTGACACTGTTATCTTTATAAAAGGACGTTAAGCCCTCTCCTGATAAAACTTCTACCATTTGATAACTTGTTTCTGATCAGCAGTGCGACATTCTCGCTAAAACTCGTAGTAGCATGGATAACGACGACGAATGACGACGGCTATCACGTTTTCCCGCCAAAATGACGCTGGTTCACGCGCGAGCAATACTCAGTAGCTGTCAGTGTTGAGAAAATCTCGTTCTCGAAGTCGCTCCCATCTTAGAATCTAAGGGTCGATAGTTCAAACGAAGTCTAACCTAAGCCGCGGTTTAACAAATCTTTGGACCTCAAGATCTCTTCCTTAGTGGGTTATTTTAAGAAGTTAAATACTTTTCTTGTCTACTCTGCATGCTTTTATAAAACTGTTCACAATAAATGGTGTTTAGACAGAACCGTTGGGCACATTGAAAGTGGCTTAGAACGCGGTTTTGTTAAACACTGGCTAAACTACATTTAAATAACTAGCCCTAAAGGTCTCTAACTATGAAAGTAGTCGCTCTAAACACACTAAGGTATGCGAAATCTACCCCAGGTTACGTTAATTTCACACGGGACTGGATGAATTATCGACCAGCTAAAAAATTTTATGGCCTTATAAAGTCGAGAAAATGTTCTATTTTTGTGATTGATTCCTATTTAAAAGTCAGTGCATTTACAGCAGGTAAAAGGGATGTAAAGTTCTAAACAAGGTATGTGAAAGGGGCACCATTTGTCAATAGAAGGTATAAGAAAGGGGTCCTTTTTTTCGTGAAAAATGGTATTTAAAAGGGTAAGGGGTTGGACCTCGGGGTAGAGCCTCCCCGTATAAACATTTGTTGAGTACCCCACCGGGAACCTCAGGCAGCAACTTGAGTTCCATTTAATAGAACTCAAAGCCCAGTTGTTCGAAGGTCGATTAGCGCTATCCCGGGGTTAAATTTTAATCTGGCTTTCGTTTTATTTTGTTCGAAAGTATTTTCTCGGATAATGTACTGTATTCCTTTTAGAGCATCCAATCATCAAATTGTAGACAAAATGAATTAAACTTAATTTGCTTCTCAAGCTTTCATTTCTGAAATCAAATTTCGCACTAACCCTGGGTTAACTTAACCCTGCTTTGAACAACCCGGCCCAGATTAGAGTGCCAAACAGAATACCAAAAATGCAAAATATATTTGGATCGGCTCAGATCCTTAATTAAGTAATGGGTTAAGGAAACAATAATCTTATTTAACAAGAAAACGACCCACGGAAAAAAGAGATTTCCAGAAGTTTCCTCTCACTTACAAATTTACTGACTTAATCTAAATGGCCTGCTTATTAGTCAGGGGCGTTCCCTACTATGGTCAGTTTCAAAATACAGACAAATGCACTTCAAAATTATTGATTACTTCTAGAACTCAATTCAAGACTTAAGGTTTACGGATTAGCGGTTGGACTTGAAGTGCATATCGATTTAAGATTCAGGGCTCGATAGCTGAAAGACCGACAAGCGCGCGCTAATACAGGATTAAAAGTTTTAGTGCTTAATATAAATCCATTAACCTTACTATTTACCATTTAGAGTAGAATTTTGTTTTTTCTTAAGTGGATCTGGGAGTTAAAGTCCAACAACATTCTGTAAACGCACGGTAAAACGGACGAAAAAAACATGCAACTTGTCTTGCAACATTCCTGCAAAACAAATCGAATAGCGATGTTGCGCGTTTTACCACCCACATCAAACCTGTCTTGCAACACACTGATCAAGTTGTTAACAGGTTTGAACGTGAGTGGTCAAACGCGCAACATCGCTATGCAATTCGTTTTGCAGCAATATTGCAAGACAAGTTGCATGTTTTTGTTGCCTGTTTCACCGAATTAAGATCCACTTACATGTTTCTCGACGAGAAAACTTTGGTTAAAATTTCTCTTAACGCCGGTTTAAACCAAAACAATCTTTCGAGGAACCGGAGTCAGGAAGATTATTTTGATTCTTGTTAGATAAGAGAGATATCCCTATATGGACAGCTTGTTTGCAGATTAGTGTCGCAATAGGTAACAAACAAACTGCTCTGACCAGTCCCAACTGACGTAGTTAACTGATACTCCAATTGACCCATCAAAACTCGAGGGAAATATGCAGCTGATGTCAAGCGAAGGAGAACACGTGCTTGATTTTAGTTTTATTTTTGATTGGTCAAAAGGGTGAGGTGACATTTTGTAGCCAATCACAGAGCTTTGCCTTGGAAAACCAAAACAATGGCAAAAATACTTGACTATTCAACCTGCTGAGGGAATACTGAATTAAGAAAAAAATCTGTGGACTAGATGCATACCTGACTAGTGAGAGTACCGTTTGGCTGCATGACGAGATACCGCTGACTCTCGACACCTTTGATGCGCGCCGCACAAGCTCCCGTGGTAACAGTCTCGATATTCAACTTGGCTAAAGTAAAAAGAAAACACACGCACGAAACAAAAAGTCAGCAGGAGAAATAGAACCTATTTAAAGCAAAGTTATTCCTGCGCAGAGGCTGATCTAGGGTGATGGCACAAGTTCCCCTTTTTTAAACTGAAAGCGAGTCCCGTAAGGATAAGGTGCCGCGATACTTTGTTTCTGGCAAACAGTGCTCCAGAGAATGTTCCTACCGCCCAGCCCCATCTTTAAGGACTCGATCCGCCACTGGTGCCATGTGCCGCTATCCTCGGGGATGGAACGGGTTGCATGTACTCAAAATTCATGGCGAAGAGCAGGGGGTTTATAATATGTCCCTTTAGACCTCAACTGCGATTAAGCTTTTTCAGAGAAAGGACCCCATTTCGCAGGTTAGTGAGACAGACCGTCTATTTTCCATTTTCACTTTTTCCTATCCTTTAGAAGACTTAACCTTCGCGACTTGTTGGGAGACTTTTCGTGATGGTTTTACATGTAGTACCTACCCCCATGAAATCCTGAACGCTGATTGGTCGAGAGTGAATTAATTCAGTCACGTGTTTGAAATACTCGATTCTGATTGGCTGTGTGATGAAGTAACCAGTATTACTACTAATATCCTTACTACATCCTAGGTAGACCAGTGTTCTGAACGACTTCAAAGTCGACACCCATGCCTCTTAACCTGCCACCCCGTCACTTTTAGCACTACAGCCTAGTGCCTACGGCCAATCAAAGCGCGCTATACAAAACCAAGCTTTCATTGAAGTGGTCACTATAAAGTAAAACTAGTGCTGTTGGATAACGAGGTAAAAATAGGAGAATTGTTTAACCTTTAAACCCTAAGATCAAAATTTGAATTCTCATTTGTTGCTCCTATTCATTTCCTACAGAAGTAGTGAGGAGAAGTTGATGAAATATCAAGCAAATTCATCTTGTGTGATCGTGTCCGTAATTCTCATGACCACCCTGTTTTACGAAGCAATAATATCACAAAGAGAAATTTGATGCTGATCACTTTTAGGTATTAAAGGGTTAACTCCTCCCTTCATCGATTGTCCGTAAATGACGCAAATCACTGCCACATTTTAAGACGCAATAATTTAAAAAACGCAGTCTTCTACTCTTCACTCCCTCCCAAAATATTAAAAATAAGAAAGCAAATTATATTAGACAGCGGGACACAGGAAAACAGTCAACGGTATCTCTCAATTGATTTTTATCGGGTAAGATAAAATAAATTACTGGTACAATCCGACAAGTGTTTACTACTCGATAAAGGTCTCACAATCTACAAAAAAAGTGCGCTATTAGCGATTTGAAGCCATCGGTAGTACATTGTAATCCCTTGCATCGACCTTTCATTCCAAAACAGACGTATCATTTGATTAGTCGCGGATCTTGGAGAGTTACATTTTTCCACGCATGTACCTCGTGAGTAGGTACTCAAACTTGAACTTGCAATAAGATCCAATCTGAGTGACGGATATTAACTTAGACATAAAACCATCCTCGAGTTATCTTCACCATTTCCTTATCTGCGTTTAGATAAAACCCTCATTTTGAAGTACTGATTAACATTCAGGATATTCAGGTCACGACATTTTATGAGTTGACGCATGTAACAGGAAGGATCCCGGGGGTTACTCCCTCATATTTGTTTTAAAGGTACGGGCCGCCTTGAAGGGGATGGGTTTTACACCGTTTTGGTCTGAAAGCGGGAAAAGACTTGACCTTATTGGTCTAAATTAAGGAATAATATACAGAAGTGTATGAACGTATTTATCTTTTCAATTCCAAATGAATAAGAAACGAAAATAGTGTATAGTAAATTTGAAGTCTCATGTCGTGCACATGCTTTGCGACGAGTTTTTCTGTATCGTTTTATGCATGAATCGAACTGAGGCAAGTTACATACGACTGTGGTCGACAGTTCATTGTTTTCTGATTAAAATCTGACCAAGTCTAAATTACCAAGAAGCAATTCAGTGAACCGAGACGAACTTTTTATTTGGGGAAAACAGTTTTAACATTCCCTGACTGTGGTTAAAAACTTGACAATTCATCATCTACAAGTAAGCGATCGCTTAAGTCTTTTTTTGTAATCAGTTATCTTGGACAGACCTGGTGTTAAGGCTAAAAGGTATTACGGATAAGCCTACATGCATGAGGGTAAGTGTTTCTCAATATTGTGGCAATACGAAATACCCAAATCCAATTAGGAAATCACGTAAGCACGTGCCAATCGATATTTTATAGCCTCGAATACTTTTCTATTACTACAAGCGTGTTGTTGTAAACAGGACCTTTGATCTCTCCCGTCATTTTTGGCTGTCCTATTTTGTATCTCGTTAAGGAGAAAATGCAAACTGGTAGATTTGTTTGAAGTAAGAAAACAGCGTCTCAAAATACTATTTTTAATTGATATCCTTGGAAGTGATACTTGAATATTGGGCTCAGAATCGCTTTAATCCAATTTTAATATTTACCCTAGCGGTTGTTCTTTCGGATCATTCTTTAAAAGTTGCGGTTTAAGGACCGACATTTCAGTGGTACCTCCCGGGTAACAAAGATAGCGCTACTTTAAAACTAAACAAAGTAGAATCTACATGTGATAAGATTCGTATTCACAGTCTAACATAGGGTTCTCAACAGGAAAAACAATTGACTTTTAACTGACCTTTGTGGGAAAACTACTTTCAATGCGTGCCTCCCCAGATAGCAATTGGTATTGTAATCTAATAGTTGTCTTTAAGTTAAAAGGATAAAATGTAAAGCTGAGTAAATACTTTGTTAAATCTCATTTCTTGACGGAAGTGAGCTCTAAGACGTAAATTCCTCCTTGGTGCAATATGCGTCATTAGCTGACGGAATTGTTTGCTTGTAACCAACATTGACAAAACTCAACAACAAAGAAACCGAGACTTACGGAACATTGCAGATGATGCGGAAAGCTGACAAATATCTGTTTGTTTTCACAGCTTAAAGCTTGTTGATGATCTATTAAAGACGTGGACTGACTTTTCAACTGTTTTTTTCGATACAGTGAAAGCTGTAATGGTATATTCTATTCATCACCTTTGGTTCTCGGGACGGAAAACAAACCAGGTCCTCCGCGTGAAAAAAGAACAACACGCGTAAATTAGCTTCGTAAGGGAGCTCTTGTTTCCATTTGACAATTTCTTGCTGAGTGGGAAGAGACAACCCGCTGGGAGTCCCGCTGGGAGACCCGCTGAGATTCTTGCGTATGAACTTCAATGCTGGGTTTGCTTTCATTTCTAACTTGATGCCGTTTAGTGTTGCTCAACGATAAACATATAAACACGATAAAAGCATACTGAAGCATGCAAAAAAGAAAGGAAAAATAAACAGAAACACAAAGTATTTCCTAATAACCGTGCTTATGAGATTAACAAAATCCACGTACAGAAACTTAAGCACAAAAAACCATGCGTTTCGTTTCACGAAAAAAAAAATTTTTTTAAAACACTTGCGTTCTTGAATTCTGTTTTGCGCTTCAAAGTCAGTAATTATTCACTTGAATCAAAAAGTTGATGGACCGAAGAAAAATCAATGTGCAAAGCATCACATATTACTTGAGGAAAGTGTAGATTACATCGGAAAGGAAGAGCTCTTACCGTATTTATTAAACTGTAAAGTTCCATTGATCTTGCCATCAGGAAGAATCTGCAGATACATTTGGGCGCGCATAGACCACAGCGAGATGGGTAGTCGCGGACTGGGAGGCAGTATCGGTCGTACACGGTTTTTGCAGAAGGAAGCCTTCACAGACCCTGCGCTTCTGGATGGGGCAGAGTTATCTGTTGAATCCACATTGCTACTGACCTTGTGTCGATTTGCCAGGGGCAGTGATAATTTTGACAAAATGAAAACGATCGCAGCGAGAAGACGCCACGCGTTGGAGTAAGACATGATTTCTTTACAGCGAGAGGATCTGAAGAGAATGAGATGAAGTGAAGAATTAACCCTGTTATATGCACAACTCTACACAGCTTCAATATCAAAGGAATGTGTGTTTCTCGGCAGCAGCAGCGTGCATTTAAAAATTGATGATATTTGACTGTTAGGCCGAGAACGAGAGAAAAGACACAATTTTACACGTTGTAAACTGAGATCACATACCTGGGTTTAACGTCTCAAAAAAGTTATAGAATCGGTGTCACCAAGATCTGTGCGATCCTTCAGCTTGAACTCACGACCAAAAAATTATACGAGGACGTGTTGAAGTACCTTTACAAGAACATGCAAATCACATTCACAGTCACTTTAAAGTGTAAAGTTTTCAAAAGTCTCTTGACAGCTCGACGTGACAAATGATCGCGTTTTTTTAGCACACCATATTTACTGACGGTATACTTGTTGTTCCGTCGTACGTCCAGGGGGAATGTAAGTGATACGAGCTTTCCAAGCAGAATATATACGTTCTTAGGGACTTCTTGAGGAAGATATACAACAAGGGCTTAAAAAAACCGCAGCGGTAGTCGCTTCCGTTTGGAAAACATTAAGATCCGCTTCATTGTTTTGTATGAATGAGATTGGCTTGCCCGCTGTAGCGTATTGTGGACTGGGTAGTATTGATAATTGGGCGCTTTTCACACCCTAGCAGGCTATGAATCATGCTATTGACACCTACAAGAACGCATTCCAGCCCCTAACGATCTCCTGTTCTAAATGAAAGGTACAATCGGATGGCAACGAGGAGGCGGAGTGCCTATTGCTAATGACTACACAGGAAATTCTAACAGACAATCACAACAATCTAATCACGGGAATAAGGTAACAAGAACTAGAAAATCTAAACAATGGATTAACAAGTAGGCGGAGAAATAAAGCATCGAGTGAAAGATTTTTAGAGTCCGCAGCGATGTTATAAACAGTAACTGGCTTTGCATTGAAACATCGTGAAAATTTTTAGATTCGTCCCAGTTATGTTAATCGAACGGCCCGCAACCCACAACTCAGTGTCCTGAATTTCTTTCATCAACTCTGACTGTAGTTACCAGTCTTTATCATCGATAATGCAAGTAAACTCAAAGAAGACAAAATAACTTTACAGGGAGGTGAATATTTGAGTGCTGTTGTGTTCAAAACATAAGTTTGTTATCATTAGCGTATTACTCAAGAAATCGAATATCAGAACACCGTTTAACAGTTCGATTCAGTGTATGAGGGGAAGCTAAGATATCCTTGCTACGTGCCTACAAAATTGCCTTCCAGGATGTTCAGGATATTCTTATGGTTGAGGTGTTACAATTTCAACAAAGAGTAGTTAAGTTTATTTGGAACAGGATTTATTTAACAAGCAGGCGGAGCAGTGTTGATAGCTAATCAAATTTACAAAACGTATTCATACTTAGCACAAAACCAGAGAGGAAGGAAAATCAGCATCAAAACGATGTGAGGCACCTAGAGCTTCCTTCCGTGAGTTAATCAACAGGAATTGTTTAAACGTAATCAAGCGTCAACTCTGATTGTGATGATTATATTGAGGGCTTCAGCACGCTATTAAACCACGTTGTGTGAAAACGCGTCGCTTTCAAGTTAGGCCCTATTTACAACGAAAAGTTATTTTACTTGACAGGAAAAGAACTTGTTCCTGTGTATCTGTCTCGTTAATTTTTTTCAAGTTAACAAAACTAGTTCGCATCAATACACTGTCTGTCACAATACTTCGAAGAGAAACTTGCTCGATCGATGTTCGCGTACGTGAGACTAAAATATAAATTTAAAGGTCAAAACAAAGCGTTCACGATAAACTATAAAACAATATTTTAAAAGTTTTTTAAGAAACCACACCCAGTATTTCAAATCTTAAGTCGAGAACGCCGAGCTATAACGGTCTCTTGTCAAGCCATAAAAAGGAAAAGACTTAATCATAGTAAACTCATTCATTGAACAACACAAGATTAGAATGTTCCAATATGAGTGAGACTTTCACTTTTTTCATCGTGAAACTAAAGGCTCCTGCGACTGAAGACAAGTAGAGGTAGATTTTCGGAAAGTTATTTCACTGATAAGTAAATGAGTTCGTCCTCTGATCACTTCTTCTGAAGCACAAAGAGAGATTTGAATCTGTGATATTTTACGCGGTATTTTAGTCTAGTAAGTTTTTAAAGGTCTGCATTTTTCCTTTCTTTTTCTCCATTTTTTACCGTCAGTGATAAATGTTCACTTGTGTCGTAGCCAAGATAAAAAAATTGTATTTCTACTAATTACTTTTACCAGTGCAAAACATTTTCTGACGCACATGCTAGCGATCACTTTTTGAAAGAAGCGCAGTCGGGTTTGACCAGGTACCGATAGTTTTCCATGCATCGACACGAAAATTCATTTATCCCGAAACAAAAGTCTATCTTTCTTCCAAGGACTTTCCTTTTGGACGAAAATACGAGGCTCTTGATCAGCAGTTAAATTGCATCATTAGCAGTGCAAATCAACTGACGAATTTGTTACATTAGAGCCATTTATACGAGGAAAAATAAGACGAGTCTTAAACTTTCCGTATTAACGGCACATTTCGTCTAAAATAAGACACGGCTTAGCTAAGACGCGTCTTATTTTAGAACAGCCCTTAACACCTGTTCTTAGATAAGACGCGTCTTAGTTAAGACGAGACAAATTTCGTATAAATGACCTTCGCGTCTTACATAAGACGCGAACGCATAGTACGCATGCGTAAATTTTTGGCGCGCTACGTTGGATTGCCGTTGCTACGGGCAACATCCACATGAAAACGAGTCAAGAACAGAAATAAGACGCGAACCATTTATACGAGCTGTTCTTGTCTTAGATAAGACATGCTCGTATAAATGGTACAGTTCACGCCTTATGTAAGACGCGTCTTATTTTTCCTCGTATAAATGGCCCTATTGATTAAAAACGAATCATACCAACGAGATAGCCGAAGAAAACATGCCTACACCAGGGGACTCGTTCAACTTGACGAGAAAAAAAGCCCGTCTAAAAAAAGTTGGTGTATAAAGAGACTTTGTTTCCTTTCTTGTACTCGGCACGGAATAAAAAGGGCCTTGATTCTAAGCTTCTTTTCAAACAACAATCGCGGGCCGTTAGACAAAAAAACCCGTGTAATCAATAACTAAAAGGTTTATGCAGTTGAATAGCCATAATTACTGAATGTGAGCAGTGTAGTGACAGGTAAAGAAAAGGAAGCTGTTAAGATTGTATATCGGCCTGTGTTCTTGTAACATTAAAAAGAGTTTACATGTTTCACCCATCCTTTAAAATACACCTGTCTATTACGGTGTTGAGAATTAATTCTTACTTTCATGTGTAATACCTGTAAACTAGCTGGTGGTGTGTCCGCATATACACAATAAACTTGACTTGACTTGACTTCGCTTGCCTAGTTCAACTTTTTCCTTGTGGGATTTCATCAATTTTGATGATTTAATGATTACATTCCACTTAAATGATGAAAGTTTGAACCTCCCATTTTAATAGTTTACAAGGTGTATGTTGTGGTTCAACTTTATCTCTGTTTAAAATCTATTTTCCTTTGTGTTTGGGAAAGGTAATTCAAGATAATGAGTTCGAAACAAAGGAAAATAAATTTAAACCAACTATAAGGATTAACTACAACATAGACATGCAACCACAAGTAACCGAAGCACCAAATATGAACCGTCGGCACTGTTGCATAACCTTTGAAAAGGAAATTAATTGTTTCTTAAACCTAAAAATATGAAAGAGTTTTAAACAAAAATCGGCTTACCAAACTTGAGCTTTATATTTCGTTTTTCTTGTGTAGTCTCTAAGCCGATTTATGACTATTTTAAGTATTTTACCGGCCCAAACCTGTTTCAGAGGCCGGTTACACTAAAACCCATAAAATGGCGATGAAATGGCACAGGGATCGTGATCACAAGAAACAGGAAACACACAACTGAGGAAAGGAAAGACCTATTTAGCTAAATTTCTTTCATACGTTTAGGTTGTAGAAACAATCGTTTGTTCCTTTACTTGTGATGTTATGTGTAGTTCAGCGCTAACTTTTAAGCCAAGGGACAAAATATTTTGGCGGGACGATTAAAAAGACCTCTTATTTTCTTAGCAGTAGTTGGGTTTTAAGTTCTTGTGATTTCTTAAACTCAAGGATTAGCACAGGTGACACTAACCCCGCATTAATCAATGAAGCCGCTCGAAACCGCTAAGATTCCGGTTGCTCCTCAGCTTGAACCTATTCCCACTTTCAACAGAGACATGCAAAATGTTCACTTATTTTTAAATTCTGCAAAATTGAATACCCTAAATGGTGACTGTATACTTCAACCAATAAAACAACAACTGATTTCTTGAATTCTCCAAAACTTTGGTAAATTAAATTGAGACCCAAAATAGACATCTTAGCTTGAAACTTGTTCTCCGGTATTTAACTGCCTTACTATTTCATAGATCTTTGTGATAAAGATGCAATTTTCAAATTTAATCTGAATGACCCATTGGGATAGAACAAAAAAGACTGAAATCAACGGAAATTTAAAAAATATATTTAAAAACTTTCTACGTCGGTGAAAAAATTGAGGGAAAGTGGGATGTCGAAAACGACTTCGGTTACGTCAATCGGTCCAATAAAAATATGTCGGAAACGACCTCAGTTACGTCAATCGGACTGATAAAAATAAATATTTCAGTCTATAACAATCACGGAACATTTTATAGGACTGCTCCAGTGTTGTTATATAACATGTATATACAAAATCTATTGGTTTCCAGCCACACTACATCCTCTGCGGGATGTTTACGGTTTTTTAGTAGCGTGTCAGTTGTTTTGATTATTGCTCAGTAAAAATCGCGGTAGGTTTTTTGATATTAATTCTTACAGTATAAAACAAGCACAGCGTGAACACGGTTGTGCGTGGTAGCGTGGCGTAAACCGGACCCAACGTAAAGGAACTGGAAGTTTTAGTAGTTTTTGCTTAGATTAAACATCCCACGCTCTTATCTGTTCATCCACTCGGAAAACTCGCAAACTCCTACGCAGCAGTTTACGAGCCCGTTACGGTACGAAACACGGAGGGAGATTTTTACCGCGATGAGGATGTAGAAAAAGCATAAGTCGCTTCAAGCGAATTTTGTTTTTTGAGAATTACGTTTTTTGAGAATTTTGTCAATCAGGAAAGACCAGGATCAAGATAGAAAAGGGGAAAAAATGAAGCGACTACTAATAAAAGTGCACGCTTCCTGAAAGCGATATTGTAAATATTTCTTTAAAATCCTTGAGAACAAAAAAAAATGTCCTTCTCATTATCCCTTAGAATTAATGAAGCCGGCCCTTATAAGAATGGCAACTGATATTACTACAAAAAAGTAGTTCTTTTTGGCTTTCATGTTTTTACCTGAGCTTATAGATCAGAAATACACGTACCTTGTACGACATACTACACACTGACTGACTTGGCGAGTGACGGACTTCTCGTCAGTAGTTTTCATTTGAACGGGCACAACACTGGATTTAATCCACAGACTCAAAAGAAAAGTAACAAACACCTTGTGCAGCATTATAAACAGCACCACAGTAAAGTACTACTCAGCGGCTTTCCTTTGAATAGTCACACTTAAGGATTTCATCCATAGACTTGAAAGTTAGAACCACTTTGTAGATCATAATAAACTCGGTACCACAGGAAAGAACTCCTCAGTAGCATTCATTTGAATGGTCACACTTTAGGATTTCATCCAAAGACTCAAAGGTTAGAACCAAATTATACAGCATAGCAATCTATCAGTACCACAGGAAAGTACTAGTCAGTAGTTTTCTCTTTGAAATTAAAATTCGGAATGTAGGACTATAAGTTGGAACCTACTAGGCCAGCATGACAAAACACCACAACAGGAGAGAAGTGAAGCCCAGTTTAAATCAACTTGTACGGCACAATAAAGAAAACCTCAGGAAAATCGCGCTTAAGTTAGGTTTTATGCAGTCAATGGCCACACTTAACGATTTCGCCCACAGACTTAAAATGTAGAACCACCTTGTACAGCATAATAAACAATAACACAGAAAAGAAAAGCTCAGTAGCTTTCATTTGATCGCTCACACTTGAGCGATTTCGGCCATGCACAGAATCAAAAGTTAAGAATCGTTCATACTACTTAAAAGGAACAAGAGGAATAAGTTTAAGAGTTGAAATTTGAGTTCAGTTTAAGGTTATGCTCACAGTATACTGGCCGGCACGACAACCATAAGGGATAGGGTTTCTGTTCACACATGAGAACGGAGATTTTGGCGCGATTTCTGTAACGGAGCGTCGATCTCTAAAGTGGAGAGTCACATATCGGATAGGTGTTCAAACGATACCGGATCGCGTTTTTGTGGGCACAAAAAGCTTTTCGGTAGAGTTTTAATATATCCCTAAATGGCGTGGATTGGATTACACTCAGTACTTTTCTCATTTCAAAACATGGAGATAAACCATTAACGAAATACAATGCTCTTGGTGGTATACAGAATACGCACTTTTTAATTAGTTTTAAACTTACTATAGGCGTTACATTTCGTTACGAAACACATAACTGTACAAATGTACATAATACAATTCTCTCATTGTCTATAGACTGTATACATGTATATATGTAAGGTTTCCGTGTTCTTCAAATATTGAAATAATTGTGGATAGTCCATGCAAACTGATCGTACAAAAAAGTTAAACTACTCGCCGGCCAGACGGGTAAAACGTTAAAAAGGAAAATTCATATTAATTTTAAGAATAATTGTTGCACACAGATTGCACTCCGGCAAGCCGGGTGAACCAAATCACAAAAATTCTATATCAAAAAATGATTCATGAAACAACATATTTTGGGGTTTGTCCAGCCAAAAAGTAAAAAACTTGGGTTAATTCTAGAATTAAAAGATTTAATTTAAGAACAACTTTTACAGCCGGCAAGCCGGATAATTTAAATCCTACATCACGAGTTTTAAGAAGAACTTACGGTGACCCGAGAAAACACTCTTGGTAACAGACGAGAAGGTCTCTGGTCACCTCGCCATTATATCATCTCGCCACCAAGAACAGAACTTAGCTTAGCACTGTTTTGAACCTTCACGGAAATTTCTTAACTGTAATTAAATATTTTATTTTCACATTTCAAAGAAATGACTAGTGGTTGTGCACGTTTCTGTCAGTTTTTTAATCTCTCAAAAGTCAAAGTTCACATTCATAGAACCTATACATGTATTATTAGTATATGCATTATCAAGAGCAAAAGACGTTCGACGCAAGAATCGTCAATTAGGATCGACAGATTTGTATTTTGGTCGATTTTTAATTCATATAAGCTTGACGAAAAAGTAAAAATCTTAGGTAAGTAATCGTAGGTATTAAACTGTGTCAATTATTTCAGAGTTATTCGGTGGTGGCAAGTCGACTTCTTGGTGGCGAGATGACCATAAACCGACGAGAAATAGCCAAGTTAAAGAATAACTTTTACCAGACCAGGGTGTGGCTCAGTATAACTATGGGAAGCAAGGGTAAAAGAAGAAGCCATTAGTAAAAAGCTGTTAATAAGGAAGTTAATTTATTTACGGGTGATGTTTGGTTTCGTGTCAATCAATGTCATCTCGTATTTCTAATGCCCGTTTCAGAAGCGGAGCTTTTCGTGAACCGGACGTAATTTGAATCAAGGCCGCACGCCGCATAAATTTAGAACTGATACATGTTGCCTAAACATCACAAAGTTACCAAATATGGTAAAATTACTTAAGCATTAGGTTCGGCACATGAAAAGTTCCGCGTCTGTATCAAAGCCGTTCCGAAGTCAAAAGATCCGGCTTAGTCAGGCGGCAACAAGGACTGATCCGACCCAAATCAAAACACTAAGGGATTTAGGTCATTGAAGCTCAAGGAAAAATTCGACCCGAGAAAATATTAAGTTCAAGGAATAATGCGACCTATGACAAAAAAAAATTCAACATCTGAAATGGGCATAATGCGCTTTCCTTTGCATGTTGACGCAACGGATTTCACTGAGAGAATCAACAACATAATGTACAGGTTACATGTTTGATCAAGAGTGAAGTGAAACTAATTATCTCGCAAGTAAACGAAAAACCGGTAGTACTGAAAACGTTTTTTTTAAGCCGCAACGAACTTTCGGATAGTTATCTTTCATATGAAGTTAGGACAGCGTTTAGTACGTCAAGCTCTAAGCATGGCGTTACGAACTTCTCGTATAAAAAAATCTAATGAGATAAATTGAATTAACAGATTTATTGCAAACCTTAATATAATTTAAGATGTTTTACTTTTGAGCATTTGTGATATCCAATACTTCCACTCAGAATTGTTTCTTATTGTTATCTTACTTTTTCTACCTCTTCTATAGTTTGGTGCTCTGTCAGTAGTCTTTAACGCTTTTGCAGACCATCCTTATGGAATTTCTCTTTACTTTCTGTTGTGTGTGTATGTCATTGTATTCTTGCAAGTTGTAATCAGGTTGTAATAAATATGCCTCATGCAGATTACAGAGCGCGCGAACGAAGTATCCACCAGGGCTCATAATGACAAATACGACAACAGCCGGTCCATAAAACATGTTTACTTACTTGTAGTTATTTTTCTTAAGATATTCCAAGATGGCAGGCTTTATCCGAGCTTTTCCACCACGACTGTTATTTCCTCGTCCAGTTATCACAGAAATTGCCTTGCAGCCTTTTTCTGAAACGACAAAAAAAGCTATCTTTTTTCCCACACCTTTAAATTCCAACGCGGAACTTTTGCGAAACACGACTTGACCTCGATGGTGATCTGATAATCAAAGCGATTTGTGTCTGGCAAATTATTTCCAATCAAAGGTTTGTCAATGAAAAACTTGTGTCTGGCAAGCCTCCAAGTCCTTATATACAGTTATACGCCCCTTATACCTTCATCTACACTTAACGAGTGTCTTTCGGTCCACATGTTTCAAAACAGCTGCTCCACAAAATGTTACTGAATACACGTAACACGAACGAGTATCGAACTAGGACTGTACAATAAGTGTCAAAAAATCAACCAAAGCGGTCCCTTCGGGTATTTTCTGTTTAAGATCATCCTAACCATTCCATACTTGAAACGTCATCATTATTCAACGATTCCTTGAGGTCTCTGTTTTTAACAAATCGAGGTTTACCGACTGCATATTTCAGCTGTAAGTACTTTCCTATTTATACGCGCGAGCTACTAGGATGCTCCCTCGGGATTTCGCTCAGCTGCGGGGGCAAAAGTTCAACGTGGTTTTTTTAATTTCAGTACCTTTCCTTTCACTCAACATGTTTTCCAGAGCTTCCACGGCTTCTGTAACGTGTAGGCCATGCAAATCAAGGGTATTCTCGTCCGAATACTTGTTCCTAAAAAGGTTCGCATCATTTCAAAATGAGGAAAGCGTTATGGAAATTGTAAGCGATGTTAAGTTCGTTAAAACTTGTGACCAGGAAAGTGCAAATGCAATCATAAAGTAACAAGGGAAAACCAGTAACGCACAGAGCAAGCATGGGAAAACGTCATGCACGTGCATAATAAGCGCGGGAGAACTTCTAGTACAGAACATAGAAAACGTGGCAAAATGTTATGTTAGGCAAAGGAAAAAGACACAAATGGCGATGTGTGAAAATGCTTAAACTGATTCGAAATCATGAACTGAATCCTTCCAATGCAGCTCTGCAAACTACCAGAATTATATTGGCAGTTAGCAGCCAATAAGAATGAAAAAGAACTCTTGGTAACTCTTACGTTTGTTCCAAGATAAGTGCCGCAGCTCTTGCATTGGCTTCTTTCATTTTCTCTGTGTGCATGTGACCCTGAAATACAAAGGTGGATTAAAATAAAAATTATAGTCGTTAGTTTCATTCAGTAAGTGTAAACCGTAAACTTAACTGAGCGAGCAATGACAGAGAACACTAGGCCTCCACCCTAGCCTACGAGTAGCCGCAACTTCCCAAACGAAAAAGGAAAAACGAAGACCCGCCTCCTTCGCATAAAATACAAGTATTTGTGAAAATTGCATAAATTAAGAGTTACGTAACATAACACGATTCATGCCAGCCTTTCGTAAACGCTCCCTCTCTCCTTTTCTTCCTTTTACTGGAGGGGGGAGGGTGCGGTTACACGTACATAGATTTTTTACCACTTTCCAAATATGCACATGTACCTGTTGAGCATAAAACTGGGCCAGTTGTCCTTGCTTCTTGGAGAAAGCCAGAGCGGCTTTCTTGAAACATTCGTCTCTTTGCTTGTAGTGCTGAAAGGCTTCCGCGCGGTAATCCCGATAACTTGGCGCCTCAAGGGTCTGGAACGGGCCTGACTCCGTTTCTGACCGCGAGGAATCTGAAATCAAACACAGCAAGTAAAGGTTTCAATCTAGCACTCATAAACATCAAACTCAGGACTGAAACAAAGATACAGCTTCCTCGAGACAACCCTATTAACTTTTTCTGCATCGATATACCACAGAGCACAAAAGTTTTCTCTTGTTTATGAATAGCCTAAGAAAACAGCCGACATTCAGCGACGACACCACTGATTTCCCCGCGAAATGAGCGCAGAAATTCCATACTGATTGGTCGAGCCTCGTGAGAAATTTGCTTCAACCAATCAGAAGCACTACCTAGATCTGGGTAGTAACACGTTCTCAGTAGGGAATATCTGCGCTCGTTTCTCAGACGTCATTTCGCGGAGAAACCAGTGGCTGCGTCGCGAAATGTCGGCTGTTTTCTCAGGCTAGTTTACGGACCTAACGTTGTTAGGAGAAAACGGATGTTCGTAAGTCTTGGGGTTTACAGTTTCAAGGAGTGAAATTGTTTAAACCTGAAAAAGACGATTTCTGGGTGCGTTTATTTTCACTCAAGAGATAAAAAAATACCTTTAACATTTTACCTAGTTATGTAAGAGAAGGAGGGCTCGTATGCGCTGTAAGTGATGAAGTCCATTCAGGTAACAGGTACTACACCCTGAAGTTTATAACGTTGGGCACAATTAGATCTAAGTTTTCTTATTTAGTCAGTGTCACTGTTGGTCTTATTGTGACTCAAACGGATCCTCGTCTATTGTTGTTTTTTATCCCAGTTCCACCAATTCTGGATAATCGAGCTTAGACTACACCAAATATTTACTTATATGATGTTAATTTACCCAGCCTACCGTCTGAATATAACCAGCTCCAGTCCTCTTCAGGCTCCTAGCAAATTAAAACACACGAATAAAACTGGCGTAAACGGGAAAAATTGGCATAATCATTGGTGGTTTTACAATCTGGATACTGTGTGGATTAGAGTTTAGGAGCCTAGATATCATATAAACAGTAAGTTCAGAGCAGGGTGAAACGTCGGACGAACCTGATGCCTATGAGCCAGAAAAATAGATTTTGCTCGTAAGCATAGACCCTTCCACGCTTGTTTTTTTTTTTTTATACGTTTGACATGAACAAGTTAGGGATAATCCTCCAACTCCAGGCTTCCCCAAAAAATTAGATTGATACACCTCGTCTATTATGAAGACAGTTTTTTTTTTAACTACGCAATTCCTACTGGAATTGTCTAGTAAATTTACGATTTTCTGATTCACCGTGAGATTTGGAAGCTAAATCGTGAGACCATGAGTTGACTGCCAAAACCATGAGAGTTGCAAGGTCTACCCTTCCCCCACCACCATACAAACGTCTATAAAGTTTTGCAACTTTACGGAGCTATATCTTCGTTTGGTTAAGACGTATTACTTTCAAACTTGGCGATTTTATTAACTTTGAGGCGTTCTTTCCGCTGGTATCGACAGTGTCAGTGGCGGATCCAGGGGAGGGGCCCAGGGGGGGCGGAACCCCCCCCCCCCCCGCCAACTCCTTATTTTCATACCAAACTGAGGCCCGAAGGGCCGAAGAAAAAATTAAGACTTCCCACCCCTTATCTAAAGGTCTGTATCCGCCACTAAGTCTTCCCCTAATTGGTCCATGTCAACAATTGAAAAACCCTGCCGTAGAAGGGTGTATTGGGTTCGTCCTTTGTGAAGTTCGAGGTTTCACCCTGGTTTGGCTGATTTTTATTTTCAATTTATTTCTGTGAAGACAAGTCACGACGCATTTTTATACCTTTCTTTTCGCCTCCTCTTTGTTTCTTAGACCAGGAGCGATTACCGTGTTAGGAATTCCCTCACCGGACAAATTACAAGACGCCTTTACAACTTCTACGGACGGGCCTAATTCAAATCTATAAAGATAAAAGAATACATCTGCTGTTGTTATTGTTGTTTTGTTGTTGTTGCCGTTCTGGCTATTGAAAGTTGTCGAGTGGTATTATGAACGCGGGAAACATTTCACCCCCGAAACCCGGCGCGGGAAACGTTTCTACTTAGCGCGGGAAAAGATGGCAACCATACTGGCGAGGCGCAGGAAAATGGGCGCAAGAAGTTTAGTTCTGTTTGTTTGTTTGTTTGTTTACCGCCATTTTCTTTGTTGCTGTGAAAACAAGCCACAACACGATGAAAATGGAGTCATTATTTCATTCTATTCCAGGCAGGCTCCCTGGATCAAAATGTTTGGAATATATTCTGCTTATTTCAGAATTTTAAGATGGTAGGTCAACCGAACGAAAATTCCAGATTATTCCATGTATTCCTATTTCCAAAATACAGTCATTCGAGCGAACCCGAAATTTACCAACCAAGGGCTCTGCAATCACAAAGGTCATTAATTAACCATTTATAGCTACAAACTTACTGATTAGCTTGGAATACTTCCTCTAAGGCCGTCCGATCGACACCAGGAAACATTTCAAAAAGTTTCCGCCTCTTCAGGTTGATGGCAATGTCTTGTCCATTCACATCTGCGGCCTTACAATAGCAATAAATAAAGAAAAATAGATCCGCAACAGTCCTTTTTTCTTTTTCTAGCAGAGAAAAAGGTATAAAAGATATTGCTTCGACTTACATTCGCTTAAATGCAACGTTTTGGAGCCATATTTGAAGTACAAACCCTCAAAGTGAGCATTACGGAAACGGTTTCTTGTCTTCTCATCGGCACCGTTTCCTTTTAACGCTGGTCTTGAAGTACCTGGATGTCTTCGAATCGATTTAGGCTTCTGGGAAACTGCCCATCTACCCTTCCCTGAGCCAACATTTTGCCCTTAGGGAGAAGTAAGAGTTAATGTTGGCTTTGGTGAGGGGTAGGTGGGTAGTTTCCCAGACACCTAAATTTTTCTTCTTCTCAAAAGAAACGCCTGATAGAAAATGATTTTTAAGCAATGCTACGTGTACTTACGTTTGCAGTTCTGCTCATCTCTAGAGCAAGTTGTTCGTCCATGATCTCCCTCAAGTTACCTGACAGAACATAGAGGATAATGGGCATTATAACACTCCTTTTTAAAATACAGCCGATTGAATTCAAGCATAATTGCTGCAATTATTACCTGATTGAAGCCCAGTACGTAACTGCTGGGGTGGCCGGTGACTCTCCGAAGAAGACTGGATTTCGTTCAAAAAACGTGAACTGGAATCTGCTGGTTTCTTATTTGCTCGCGGTGACTTAACTATGAAAAAAGTTTAGACAATAAAACAGAAATTACGGAAAATGGAGCTATTCGTATATGTAGACTAAAGACGTTTAAAACCTTTTTACTCCCATTGTGAATAAAGGAGTTTTGTAAAGTGGTCTAACTTTTGAGTCGGTGAACAGAATCTTCTATTTGGTAGTACTTTCACAAAGTACTATTCGTATTTCAGCATATTAAAAAAGAAATGTCAAAGTTTTGTCAAATCGTGACTAGCCACTTCTTCGACAATCTAAACGGAGAGCTCTCTAAAACGGACACTACTGAGATAGTCCCTGCCGTACTTCAGTTATTTTCTCCATAAGTATTCTCTTTACAACGAAAACCTCTCCAAGAAGAGCCGGTCTCAATGAGGTGACTTTTTAAACTAGGAAGGAGTTAGAGCTCCTACGAAACCTCTAGAAAGTTACGAAGCCTCAAGAAAGTTAAAAATATCACCAAAATCATTGAAAATCTTGTATAGCATGAAAGACCAATGCATTACCTTTTTTATCAACTGGAATCCCCTTTTTTTTCTGAAACAAAATACGAAAAATGGGAACCTAAATTACTCTTGTTTCCGCTTTTAACTCTAGTAAGTAAGCAGTTTAGTTTAAGTATCACGTGAACTGAACCTGGATGCTCTTCTCCCATCTTTTGTACAACTGTTTCGCTAATGTATTGTCCACGTCTATGATAAGATCTTCAAGGCTCAGATCCTCTGTGAAGCAGGAAAAAGACATCGTTTAAGTTCCTTGCACAGCGAATCTTATAGGGCCATGCAATACCCACACTAAAAAAAGTGTGAATACAAGAGAACTTAAAAGTGCGCAAACCTTGAAAGTTGACTCCAGTGAAGGGTCCGAACAGCTCTACCAGGTGCAGTGCTATCGCGGGTTCAAGTGTCAGCTGAAAAGTGTTCCGACTAGAAGCCTGGGCTTTAGCGAGAGGACTTGACTCCAGGGGCCTCGGTTGATTTGTCTGATCCACTTGTGCCGATATTTCTCTCGGAATATCGCTCACTTCACGCACAGCAGAACTTTGGGATCTCACTTCATGAGTGTGATCACCTGCCACATGCGATTCATCAATCGGCTTAACTGATTTTAAACTTCCGTTCAACGATTTAAGTGGAAGATTCTGCGAAGCTAAGATTTGAGAATCCTGAGACTGCTGTGTGCTAAGGTCTGTCTCACCCACAGGGAAGGAAACTAAATCACTTTCATCCGCCAGCAACTCATTGACTACCTTCATTACGTCTCCGCTTGTATCCGTCAACAACACGCTTATAACGTCACTTTCAATATCCGGGAAACAGGTCTTTAAAAACTCCACACCAGTGGAGAAATCATTCGCCGAGTACCCGGAGGAAGCGTCTTCTGCCTCATGGCGCAGATTATGTACGTCGCTTAACATATCTTTTGTCGGTTGATACCTGTTTTCTTGGGTGACAATGTCACTAAATACACGTTCTGGTCCATAAACAGTTGGTTCCTTAAGTGGTTTCACCTCAGTTTCCTCACTATAGTTTTCTGCATCTTCTACAGACTGTTTCTGACTGGTGCTGGAGGCCGATACCTTTTTTTGCTTTGATTTTGAAGCAGAAGCCAAAATAGTCGACAAAGGTGGGGGAAAGGCAACTGATTTTTTCTCAGTAGGTTCGCGATGTTTGAGCCCGATATTTGCCCCTTCCATGGCGTCTTTATCGACGTAACACATCCGAGCCAAACTTGTGCTTTTATCAGCAGGTGGCAGGTTACATGTGGTTTGTTCTTCACTAGACGCCTTTACTTCAAAATCTTCCCCAAGACGTTTATCTGTCACTCTGTTTGATTTGCCTGAGTTCAAGGAAGAAGCATTGGACAAGAATGCGCTGTAGAGCTCCGGAGAACTGTCCGAGGGAAATGCAAAGTCAACGAATGGCATCGATGACTTAGAATTTTCAGATGCCAGGGCAACTTCTTCACTGTCGTCTTCGTTGTCCCCCTTAAAAAAGGGTGGCAAAAAGATATGACTATCAGTAGCTGACAATGAATCTTTGGAGAGCTCCAAGCTTGCGCTGCCCTTTTCTGAACCGCTCACTGCGTTATCAATGCTATTTAACTGAAGCTTGTCATCGCTGCCGCGACAACTGAGATCCTCCGGTGATCTTATGGTTACAAGATCATGATCACTTGGCGATATCCTCTCTCGGACCCTTGGAGGTCTCTGGGGCAGCGGACTATTGAAAGCCTGCATTTCTTCCCCACCAACGTCACCTGAATTCTCACGAGTACAGATGTCAGATTTCACAACGTTGTCGGTATCGTTACGCGGTTCAACATTTGGTGATCTCCTCTCTCGGGTCCTTGGGACTCTCTGTGGCTTTGGACTAATGCTCGCATCAGGGACGTCTTTACTATCCCCATATGGCGGATTCTTAGATGCACTGATGTCCTCCTCATCCTCTGAAGAATTTTCACGATTGTTCAAATTTTCAACACTTTTTTTGCTACTCTCTCTTACACCTAGAAAGTCAATTTCGTTCCCTTCCAAGGCGTTGTTTTTTTCGTTTTCACGGTCGACACTCTTCGAGGAGTGAACCACTTTGGTCAGAGCAGTGTTCTCTGCCGACGTGGTGTAGTCAAAGGTATTTCTGTCACTCTTTCCCAGGCCCAGAGAGCTTTCCTTCTGCAATGTCGGTGGAGCCCTGGGACTAAGGTTTTGCTTCTTAGCACCAGTCGAAGTTAGAGTTTTATAATTGTTCTCAGTTCTATTAGGATCAGGTTTTCCCTCGCAGTTCATTATTTTTTCAACAGTAAGACCTTGTTCAAACCGTTCCTTCATTCTCGTTATGGTTTCTACGGTAACTCCATGTCGATTACGTCTACGAGTGAAAATAGAAGAAGTCACAAAACGTAAGAGAATCCATTTCAAACGACAAAGCCATTATTCCGTGCTACAAATCCACGCAACTAGGAACGCGGCATTGAAAATTTCACAGGGTAGCAAACTGTAAGTACCAGCAAAGAAGAACCTACGAAAGATTAACCTTTAATAAGGTACCAAACGGTCATCGCCCACACAAAAAAAGGCGAAATCAAAGCGTGTTTCTCTAGTCTTGTCTGCTTGTTGTGTTGCAGTTGTTCGTTTGTTTTTCTCACGATTTTTCCATACATACCTAGCAAGTTCTTTTACATTCCATTTCCATGAGGTATCCGGTTCAATAAATTTAACGTAGTATCCATGCTTTAAAGCCTAAAGGGCAAGCATCACACAAATACATGTGTAAATATTATAAATAGTACACTAGTATACTCAGAGCTTACGGTTGATCAAAGTGGAATGCTAAAAGTGGCCCTATAAATTTTTGTGCGATGTTACGGGTGAATGTTCATTTGCTACGGCTGCTTAAAAACTTACTGACAGCCCTGTATACTAACACAGATGTTCCTGTATACAGCATAAACAATAAATAAACAAACAAACGAATAAATGAATAAATAAAAATAATGAGCCGGCCGCCAACTGCCTGCAACCTTCCCTCCTTCGGTTCCACTTCAATAAGTTGAAAACTTGCTAACAATAAAGAAAATGTAACATCCAGTGATAATAATTATTGGGTGTTGTCAAGTCAGTTATCATCTTACCATAGACACATAAGGCTTCATCTCCCAGGCCTGTGTGTTAGTGTTGTCTATTATCACCGGTGATGTCAGTTTTTCTATAGCACTTTTTGCTACAAGAAAGAAATACAGTCCGGCTAGTCTGCAGTTCTCAGGGACACACAAAAAAATAGATTCGTGGTTCACGTGACAGCTAATAGACGGTATTTTCCTCTGGTATTTTTGTGTTTTACATGAGGGTTCTAACCCTCGGGTGTGGATGAAATCCTAAAGTGTGACCATTCAAATAAAAGCTACTGAGTAGTACTTTCCTGTGTTACTGTTATTACGCTGTACAAGGTGGTTCTACATGTAACTGACTTTTGAGTCTGTGGAAGCAATCATACAGTGTGACCGTTCAAATGAAAGCTACTCCTAAGTATTACTTTCCTATGGTACCGTTCATTATGCTGCACGAGGTATAGTTCTAAGTTTTGAGTCGGTGGATGAAATCCTATGGTGTGACCATTCAAATAAAAGCTACTGAGAAGTACTGTCCTGTGGTACTGTTTATTATGCTGTACAAGGTGGTTCTAACTTTTGAGTCTGTGGATGAAATCCTAAAGTGTGACCATTCAAATGAAAGCTACTGAGAAGTACTTTCCTGTGGTACTGTTTATTATGCTGTACAAGGTGGCTCTAACTTTTGAGTCTGTGGATGAAATCCTAAAGTGTGATAATTCAAATAAAAGCTACTGAGCAATACTTTCCTGAGGTACTGTTTATTACGCTGTACAAGGTGAGGTTCTAACTTTTGAGGATGTGGATGAAATCCTACAGTGTGATCATTGAAATGAACGCTACTGAGCAGCAATTTCCTGTGGTACTGTTTATTATACTGCACAAGGTAGTTCTATCTTTTGAGTCAGTGGAAGAAATCCTAAGGTAAGATTTTATTCAAATAAAAGATACTGAATAGGTATGTGTTCCTGTCTACTATGTTGTTTTAAATTTTTGAATGGATACGATGTTTTGTAAACTAATGCAATTGCATTAAGTTACTTTATTTACCATGTACAAATGATCATAAAATTTGTAATATTCAGTATCGATATGCATTATTTTGCACAAACCTCGTTTCTGATTCCATTCATGAGCTTCACTCAGTAACATTGCATCAAATTCATACCTAACATATCATTGATGAAGAATTAAAGAATGAACCACACACTATGCCAATCCAAGAAAGGTAATTGCATGCTAACGTATCAGCAACAAGGAACCAGCCATAAGCTGGTACTATTGCATGATTGCATTGCAAATTGCAAAATACAAACATATATATGTTACAGGTCAAAATTGAATTCAGGTTACAAAAATTTTTTAACCTAAGGTTAATTTCAATTTCCTTTGTCTCCAAATTGTTTTGAAATATATCTGGTAACAATCCAGTTTTATAATGAAACTTTATTAATTTCCCTATTTCTGCTAGATACATATCATTTAGTGGTAGTTATGCAAAGATTCTTAATTATTGGTGCTATTATGAGCATTATAACAAGATTCAAAGATGATTGTCTCATAGCTCATTATTGTGGCAGTTTTTTAACAAGGCATTTTAAATCAGGATAGGTTGATCTCCAAACACTTATGCAATACTGCAAGCAGAGATGGACTAGAGAGAAATAGAATGCGTGCAAAAAATATCAAACATACCTTTGATTCCTGTAAAAGAAGTCATCCGTTGAGAGTACAACACCATGGGCACCTTTCAGTTTTCTACGATGAAATCATAACAAGAATGCAGAGTTGTAACAAGTCAACAACATGGCTAAATGTATATACAGAGGTAGATCCAAACCCTGGGATAAGGTGGGGGCCTACTGTCTCACCTGGCAAAAACAATGCACAGTGGAGCCCCACCTTACGGCCACCTCAGTAATACAGTCACATCGTTATTACGGCCACTTTTTTTGGCTGCCTGGCAAAAACAACCGCACATTTTCTTGTAAAGTAACCCTCGTTAGTACGGTCACCTCGCTACTATGGCCAAATTTTTTTGGGCCCATTGGTGACCGTATTAATGGGGTTCCACTGTATGTCGTAGCCTAATGGTCCTGCGAAGGCTCATTTCTTGCCTTCAGTTATAAATCCCTCCACCTTGCAACCACCGCAAGGACTCAACAGATGGCTGTTGTAGAAAGCTAGTCATTGCACAGAGGTTAAAAGAGGAGAGGATGTATCCTCTGGAACCAAACAAAGTTGGCATAATTTTTGGGGTGTGGGGGGAGGGGGTAGGTTGGGAGGGTAGGGCATGGCAGTTAAAGAGAGATGACTATTACTAGAGGTTCAACTGCACCAAAAGGAGGGGGCCAAAAATATAAAACTGACAATGCTCTTCTAAACGTTTTTCTGGTAACAGAGGTAAATACTTACAGTGCAAGTGTAGACTTTCCACTTCCTGGTAATCCTCGGATCAAAATAAACAGCCTCTGATGAATGACTGGCGAAAATGGCATTTGCACACCTGATGCTTGTTTTGGAGATCTGGCCACAGCTGAAAGTTGGCCCCCTTTAACGAAATACTATCATTTTACTCCAAGGAAATGGTGGAAATGACACACTAACCAAACTAGTGGTATATTATATTTTGAATAAAGGTGACTAGTTTCTCAAATTTCCGACCCATTTAATGTGGGGCCATCAGGCTATGTTGCTGCCATTTAAGACTTTTTGGATGTTTAAATATGGTGTCCCTGATAATCATTTCAATACAACAACAACTGCCCCAGGGGAGTTATTGCTGATTTTTTTTCAGTATTTTAGTCACATTCCTTGGGCCTGTTGGTTGCACAGATTTAAAGGTATAAGGTCTAAAAGAAATTAAACCAAATCTTAACTAATGTGCAAAACAGCAAACCAATATGTCTAGTACCATCATAAAGAATGAAATTACAGGGTTTTTCCAGCATACAACTACATGTACTAGATCGAGTTAATTTCAAGAAAAATCCAGGATCTATAACTTGAACTACCAAAAATATTAATATAAACTTTCAATATGTAAATTAATTATCCTAACTAAAAAGTGAAATAATAATAGTATCTAGTCTTTGGCCACATACAACAATATTTAGTGTACTATATTATTTAAATATCTAAAAGTATAAAATGCTGAAAGTTTGCCAGGGGTATGTAAAAGTTTGAGGAGTAATACAATCCCTAGCAACCAAGAAAAGGTACAAAACAACATATATCCACAAACCTCTTCCCAGGAAGAAAGGAGGCTGGTAAGCAGGACGATTCCCTTGGGGGTACTGTAGGAGAACTTGTCCCCTGAGCATGGCTCTCTGAGGTCCCTGTTGCCATTGTGATGATGTCACTGGCATTAAACCAAACCTTGGTACTTGTGAAGTATTACCTTGAATTGCCTGGCCAAAACCCAGAGGTGACACAAATGGTTGAACCTGCCTTTGTATGGCAGGAGGGTGAAACATAGATTCCTTTGTTACTGGTAAACTGTTGAAAGTGCCATGATTTGGCAACTGCTGTGTGCTGTTTGATGCTGGTCGAAAATGAGGTTTATTTGCACCATAACTTGGTAGAGTCTTGGGAGAATTAAATGAATTATTGGATGACCCAATACTCTGAGTTTTTGCAGATGGCTTACTTTGCACATTTTGTGGATGGCATATATTTGAAGTCCTTTCTTTGGATGGCTTTTGCCTTTTATCCTGAAACATATCTGTATGGGTCAAGAAGTCACCACTGTACATTTTCTTCTTGCTTGGTTCCCAATCTAATCTCTGCTGTTCAGCATTATCAGGAAAGGTACTTTTGCACTTGTCTGTGGTAGCCCTCTGTGACATATCTTGCTTAAGCAAGGGCTCCAAGGTTCCTGTAGGTTTGCTCTCTTCACCAGCATTATTTATCCCTAAAGATTCACTACTACAAATAACCTGTTGAATGAGTGGAGGCCTTGTGTTTGTGCTGTGTGCTGAAGGTTTTTCATGAGGTATTGAGTCGAAATTCAAGGACACTTTTTCTTGACTTTTTAATGCTTTATACTGCTGTGAAATGCTGTCAGGGAAATCTGGCAAGCCTGATGAAAGAGTAGTAGGGTTTGCTGCATCAGGAAAACTTTCTGGGTGTGTTTGTGCTTGATTTCTCTCACAGGGAACTGGACTTAATGGTAACGTAGAAGACGGCACAGTTTTTTGAGCATGTGTTTCACCATGGGCTCCAAAGGTTTTCGATAATGGCCTGAGTTCATGATCTGTTTTCTTCTCGGAAGCACATTTCTCTTCTTTTAGGTCTTCCTCTGTGCCACCCAAAACAAACAGTTTTTCTATGGCATCATTTGCTAGGAAAGGAAGAAAGCTCTGACAAATGTTGTTTGTTTATGCAGTTGAATTGAATGTACATGTTGTAGTTAATTTTTTTTCTAGTTAATTTTCATTTTTCCTTTATTTCTAGTAACCTCATTAGCTTACATTACCATACCCAAAAACAAAAGAGAAACAAAAATTACCTGAGATGAAAAATTAACTACAACACATACATGTTAAACCCTTAAACCCTACTGTCAAAATATGATTCCTTACTTGTTGCCTCTGTAATCTTTATACATGTTCATTTGCCTAAAGAGATAGTGGGGAAAAGCTGTGAAAAAGCACTAATGAGGGTTGGAAAGGGGAGGGGGGTTACATGCACGGTTCACTGGAATTAAAATCAAAATTTCATGGTTAACGGGAATTTAAACAGACCTTTCATGAATCACGCAAAATTCAGCGTTTGATTTTATTTGTCACCCATATAGTATTGCATAACTGAGGTGTCAACAATTTTGAATTATGCATACAAACGCCCTAAAATACTAAATTTACAAAAATTATAATTCACAACTGCATGCTGTACTCTACACAAGCAGAACTGGCCTACACTTCATTATTTGCAAGCCTTTAGTGTAGTGTGTGAATGTGCAAGAACAATATATTTATTGCATAGACCTTGTTGCCATCTAGTCCTATTTCTAAGCAGCATAATTTTAAATCAATGCTGAACCCAAGGCCTTGTTTTTCAGCTCCCTGCCTAAGGCCTCCATGTTCTACCACGTGCCTTACAAATGCCTGCAAAGAGCAGTGCTTTCCCGATAAAGGAATATGTACATGCTCTTTGCTGCCAACAAACACATTCATTGTATTTGCAAACGTTGTTGGATCCACATAAATAGAAAACACCTTCCAAAACTTGAAAAACACTTCCCTCACTGTTCGTGCCTAAAATTAATTTTCGCTTGCACGTCATGAATTAGTTATGTGTGATGATCATGTGACGTCTAGACATGTTTAGGATGTGCGTGGCATTTTGTTCATCTTTGTTGACAGACTTGACCATGATATATCAAGTTCCTTGAAAGTTTACGTTGAATATTTGACGAAAAATTAGCTAATTAGAGACCATGTTCACGAATCTAAAGAAATAAATTAGTTATTTCACGAATCACGGGATTAATTTTGTTCACGGATCACGATAAATAAATTCTTTCGTTCACGATTCACGGCAATTAAAATTAGGCGTTCACGGTTCACGGAGAACCCCCTTTCCGATCCTCACTGATATAGCAAGGAGAAATTTGATTCTAAGGTCTGATCACACTTAGGACCTGAAGTTTTTCTAGTGAAAAGCAACATCACTATGTCAGTTCACTCTCCAATCACTTCTCATTGCAACAATGTGGCCCTTATTTTGTCTAGTTACTTCCCGGACGAGCTGTGACTGTTTACGTTGAGTAAATTCAGCTAAATGGTTGTTTCGATATAAAGTCGTTTCGATATAAGTCTATTGAATCAAGGTGTAAGTCAATACTTAGCGTATTTGGGTTATAGAATATTCACGATAGGTTTTTCATGTTCGTGCGCTATCTATACTTTAAGTGATCGAAATTCTTGTGCATTTTCTCTCCTTGCAACTTGTATTAAAGTTTGTATCGAAACGAGTTAAGCTTACTTTCGATATTTGGTCTTGAAGCACCAGAAGAAAAAACGTTAAAAATTGATAATGTAGTCTTTACATAAACAATGATTTGCCTACCATTGTAGTTACTTTCTGACAGTACCAGCTGAACTACTTCGGGATCGACTGAACCAGCAAACATACTCTGTAATTCACGCAGAGTGGTGTCACGCGACTGGAGCTCAGCGCTTTGGTTGCGAAGCACATTTTGTGCTGAATCTGCCTCAACGCTGTTTACATTTCCGCCTTGATTTTTCCTTCTGGGCATAACGAAGCATTTGAATCACTGCATGTATGCCAGGAACTGTCTGTAGCGTGAGAATATCTTGCAACAGCTGAAAACTTGCATTGGTTCTTTGTCACCGGGGTCGGCCATTTTGAATCGGGCATCAACATCCGGTCACGTGAGCTTCATATCCCAAGACTCCACGCAGGCGTTCTCGGGGCGAAAATGTTGGGAGGAGGGAGAAAACGAAATGCTGGAGTAGGGAGACGTCGGTGAGAGGGTAATTTCATGACTTTTTTTAACTTGCGTGATGACAAGGGATAGCGGGTGAGGCGGGAAATTTGACGTACACTGCGATCCCCTTATGTCTCCTGGGGCTCCCCCGGTCGGACTAACCCGAGAAAGCATGGAAAAAACCTTTGACACATCTCAGGTTACCAGGTATAAAAATTGGCAACGGGCAACACAGCGTTTTTAAGGTGAATGCAACTGCATTTCGATGAAGACTTTTCATGCTAAGTTTATTTTTGAGTTATATAGCTAGCGTCAAAAGCTAGGGTATAGCTACAGAAAGAGAAATCGGAGTGCCCAGACCAAAAGCCATAATGGCTTTTGCCCAGACTCAAATTGTTTGAATAAACTTCTGGTTTCGCTAATCCTCGGTTTTGAGTGCTTTTCTCAAAAATGGTATTACAAGGGATATCTCGCTCTCCAAATTTGAAAGCCTCTTGTCTATTAGCTTCATCCTGTCTTCCAAGACTTTCAGGTCCAATGAACTGAGGGCTAAATCGAGCGACGAGGCTTGAGTTTTCTCCACCGAGTTAGCGAGTGTCGTCCGCGGTTCTAGTCCGGCTCTCGGCGAAGCTTCAGTTACTTCAAGATCATCATCCTCCTTGTGAAAGAAACAAATTATGAAACAATTATATCATGGCTATAATATTTGATTAACGTTCAATCTTGCCATTCAGGGTATTGAAAACTTGATTTTATGGTTCGAGGGGGCTTGTCAAAAGGTCTTCGTCAAGGTTCGGGTGATACTTGGCACATTGTGCCGCGAAACTCCACCATAACGTCATTCTGTGCTCCCATTGGTTCTTTTTATTGGCAGCTCTCATTGTTCTCTAAACAATAGAGCCGAGACAGCTTCCATTGTTCTCATGCCTATATATGGTCTGGCTATAGAGACCCCCTTCAGTACTACCCACTTTCAACCTCGTCCCCAGGGCTTTTCCATAAAAAATAGGTTGACCCACCTTGACATAATCCCCTATTTGGTATGAAAAAACTCTCCTATTCAAGAAGTCTTCTCTAAACATCGGGAATTTTTCGAATATTGTTAAAAGATCGGACCACTCAATGTAGTGAATGTGGGTATTAGCCTGTACGGTCAGGCTGGCTGTAGCTCTGGGTTTGCTGCACGGCGACTTGAATTCACAATAAATAATATCCCCTCTTCCTGTTGAGAAGAAAAACCAGCGAAAAACTCGTAAATAAAGCTTGTCCATATTAAAATCCGAAGGCCTTCAAGTAGGACAAGAGGGTGACAGGTGGAGAGTGGTAGAATTCCCTAGCCGGGGGGGGCGGGGGGTGCACTCCGGATTTTAAGTGATCGAATGAGGGAAAAAGTCAAAACCCAAAAAAATTCCCGGGACCAAAAATTAACCCAAAAAAAACTCCCATGCCAAATTTCCAAGCCTCGAAATTTCCAGGAAGAATTACATGATAACACACGTTGTACTTAATTTGGCTGTACTTTATTCACAGAACTACGCTGCCGGGATGCGCGGGCACTACCGCGAATCTTCAGATTGTTTTGAATAGCCCCCCAAAATTTCCCTTCTTAAATCAAGCCACCCAAAAAATACTTGGCAGAATTTCAATTCCTACCGAAAAAAATCCCGGAATCGAAAATTTCAAATCTTAAAAAATCCCCTGAGCATCCTGGAGTACCCCCTTCCCCCCACCCCTTGGATAGAATTCTCCCTCTTTGTTCTTGTTTTTGTAGCAATAAATATCAGACAGTTCTTTTTGTTGTCGCTTTGCCCCAGTATTGGGATCCATCCCTTAGATTAACTACGTTAGTAAAAACAGAGGTATCTCGCAGCTATAACAAAGCCTCACTGGCTTGTTTGGGAAAACAATGAACGAACAAAGTTAGCTACAGTTATAAAATGAATGGAACCGACCCCTAAAACAAAAGATCTAGAGCTGTGACATCATGATAGGGGTCCATTGAAATTAGAGGTTTTGAAAAGAGATACGAGGTAACTGTAAGAATAGGCCAGCTGGGATACTATCAGTGTGTCCTATGGTCGTTTTGAACTTTATAGCAATATCCTGTGCCAGGCGTTCACATCGTGGGAAAGAGAAGAGATATGAGGGAGTGGGATAGCAGCGACAATTTAATCAGGCTGTTGATCGATCATAGCTGTATTCAGTCATTGTCACTTACATGGTACACTGTAACTCCAGTAACAGAACTTAATCTATTGCCGAGTCTAACTGAACAATCCAAAATGAAGGCTATTGAGCAGTGGTTTCCAAAGATATTTTTAGATCTTTCACACGGCTTGGAGCCACGTTTTGATCTGTGCAAACCTCAGTACCCGGTGTTTCTTTTTTTTTTTTTTCAAACAACACTCCCCAGTATTTTCACATTTCCCTTCAACACTTTTTAGACTTAAAACAGAAAAGTTAAGAGCACCACCCCACTAAGTTATGCCAGTAAGAGCAAAATTGTCCTACCGAGAGCAATGAGAGTCTCACCATCCACGACCACGTGAACAATTCCCTTAACAATAAAGAACACCTTATCCACTTCATCTCCTTGTTTTATGACGTATTGACGAGGCAGGAAATGCTGAACCTGTAGCTTGGTGGCGAGTAACCGCTTACAGCTAGGAACGACGGCTCGGAATACTGGGTTTTCCCTGAATAGCTCATCATGAATATGAAGACAGATGTCGGTTTGGAGAGTGCTTGGGAACATATTCAGTACCTGTGTATTACATTAAAAATTTGCAATCTCAAATTAATTCAACTATAAGACAACAGGCTTTTCACATGATCTTGCAGCGTGGACATTAAACTTAGATCTGTGGGGATCTGTTCTCCCGCATGACGACTTTCTCTTAGCTTGTTACTGGACTCTTTCGGCCAGGAGTAACGAGGAAGAAACGGACAGAAACTGAAATAGATTTGGGCTAACGTGTTCCAGTGTTGGCATATAAAAGGTCTCACGAGGAATGAGTTTTAAGTATACTAGTCAGCAGCGACACGCGATGCCAAAAGCGAAATCGAAGCCCCAACGGTATGACAGCATGCTACACGGTTAAAGTAATGAAAGGGATACATTTTAATACATGAGAGTTCAAGGAAGGAAAATCTCGTCCTCAACAAATGCGGCAATGAAGCAACTATTGCAGCAGTCGAACGTCTCTTGCACATCTCCATTTTGGTAGCTTCTTTTAGGCTCGTGCGTGCTCCTCCCTTAAGACCGGGCCCGAGAATGTGGATTGTAAGGTATGTTGGTCCTAAAATGACGTCGTAATAACCCCTAACGATCCCAACATCTATAAAGTGTATGAATACCTCTGCAATACAGTGGTTCAGATACATTTCCTAAGCATTCAAAATAAGATGAATTAAGTTGAAAATGTGATCTACTGCCTACTGCTTGTTTTCCAACATTGCCAAAAAAGGATTTGAATAGCGATGCTGCTCATTTTACTGCCCCCGAATCAAACCTGTCTTGAACATATCAGGTTGTTGCAACTGTGAAAAGTTTTCACGGAAAGTAAGAAAAAAGTTGTACTGGCCCAAGGCAAACTTCTTTTGCATCAAGTGACGCAACTCCCGTGTATGGCGTGACGCCCGCGTAATTCAGTATCCAGTAGTCATGCACCTTGTAACAATCTGATTTGTTGCAAGACAGGCTTAAAAAGTGGGTGGTAAAACGCGCAACAAAGCTTTCCTGTTAGCTACAAAACAAGGTTCATGTTTCTATTGTCCGTTTTACCGGAGCTTAAGCTATACCGAAACAATACTTCAGGAAAGCGACTTACTGCTTGTAGATCGCCAGCTTTTAGGAATTGGGATTCATGGAGGACGTGATTCTCCAAGTTCTCCTTAAGTGCCCGCGGTATTTTGTAGAAATTAACAAACTCCCGGATGAGGAGCAGATCTTCTTTTTGTCTGGAGCTTTGTAAATATAACCTCTGGATAATCACCGTCAAGTTTCCAAATATAGAAGCGTACATTAAAGCTATTATAATGTAAAAAAGGATCAAAAATTAATTTCAGGCAGCTAAGGAATCTCGGATTGCAACTAATTTCTTCAAATTGAACTTCAGTTTCATTTTATGGTGAGGTGTAATTAGAGAGATTTAGAGTTGGCACGTTTGATTCTAACGCCAAACGTGAATTTGTACCGCGTGAGACCAAGTTTTCCCTTTACTTGACGTTTACTGTTGATTGCTTATACGCAGAAATTAGTACTGAGTTTCACGTTATTATCATCCATACGAATTGTTTTGAGCTGTTTTTATCTGCTCATTTCCTACTTTAAGAATTTCTTAACTTGAATCTCACGTTTGCCGTTTGCCGTTAACGTGACTATAAACCTCTTTTATACGAAAAAGAAAGAGACAACAACCTTCGAAAAATAAAACACTGAACACACCAAAGACATTTCAATAAACTGTTAAAAAGAAAGCATCTTGCAAACATTACAGACAGCTTTTTGTTTTTTACACCGTGTAATTACGGTTATAAGCCCCCCAACCCCACTTAATAAGCCCTGCCCCCATTTATAGGCCTACCTACCTGTAAACAAAGTTCCACGGGATATAAGCCTCCCCTGTATTGAAATGAATTCGATTTTTACGACGTTTTGATCAGCACCGCTATCTGGTTTGTATTAAAACGTTTTTTTTTAGTCCGATAATAAGCCCCACCGGATATAAGCCCCCCGTTTATAAGATCTCCTAAAACCCTAACACGAAGTTTTATAAGGACCCTATAAGCTCAGGGCTTATAAGCAAAAGTTTGTAGTATGTACAAAACATGTACTGACTCACCTCCTACGATCATTACAATAATAGCAAACACTTTCTCACTGTTGGTACTCGGTGCAATATTTCCAAAACCAACACTTGTCAAACTGCTCAGAGTGAAATACAAAGAAGTGATATATCTTGTGTTCAGGCTGGGCCCGCTCGTGGGATTTGATTGGTTAATCGGTTTGCTTATTTCCCCAGCCAGATATGAAAGCCACCCACTATCATCACGTGCTTCTACAATACCAATTGCGTGCCACACACAAGCCAGCCAATGAGCAGTGAGGGTGAATAGACACGTGAGCAGTACGATAACCGTCAGTCCATATTGAGAATAGCGGTCAATTTTCCGAGACACTCGCACCAGGCGAAGGAGACGCGCTGTCTTCAGTAACCCCATCAGAGTGGTGGCCTTGAGATCAATAAAAGACAAAAATGAAAGCAAAGAATTATTTTCTTCCTAGTAAGCCCCACCCACATGAAAAAAATGGCTTCCCTTAGGCTTACAACCAATAACTATCTTCATATTGTACTGAATTTTATTTGGATTTCAAAATTTGGCTTTGTCAGCACTTCTCTAAATAACAAAGTGTGCCACTCAACCACAAACCTCTGCTGAAACGAAAAACAAATTTCCGGACCAACCAATTAAAGACATCGACCTTCAGAGAGACTAGACACCCATTCTGGAATTTTTCTGTTTAGATTAACTTATTTTATTCTTTAGAATTATGCCTTAACCGGCAGAAGCATCACTTCAGCTAAAAGAATAATCAGTGTATTTTAAATCATTTGAAACTACGTATTGCTATTTCAGTGAACTGAATTCTTGCGTTTGTGTGCAGGAAAGAAAGACAAACTCGTAGCTAGGTGTTCTTACGCGTCTAGTCGTTACACCAGTGAATAATTACGAATTGGTCCTCTCTCGTCTTAATTTTAACTAACAGAAGGAAAGAGTCAAGTCGTGGGGAGATGATGTATAATAAGTACTCTAAAACTGAATAAAACTGGCCTCATTACTCACCCCTTCATGTTGTGGATCGACAAGAAACTCAAACGGAATGGCTGCCACAAAGTCAACCCAAAACCAAGACTTGAGATAAAGCATTGCTATCTTTTTAGAGTCACTAATTACTTCCTCTGTTCCCTTGTCGACAACAGCGCTCCGAAAATTTATTGGTATGTCAATTATAAAGAGTAAGTCTATTATAAGATTTCCAATTGCAATAGGAGAGAGGTTCACCAAGTCTCCAAATCTACTTGTGTGTATTTTCGTTCGTCGTGGGGTCACGAACGCCACATCGTAAGGGATCACAATGGCCGTGTAGATGACAAAAGCAAGTATTAACCAGTCCCACGCGGCCTTAAACACAGAGTCGTGATGTATTAAGCAGTATTTGCCTTTGTAGAGCGAGTTAAAAGAAGTCTGCGACCCTCCTGACATATTCTATACTGAAAAAGAAAACATTTTGACATAAAAATTATGAAAAATACTGGACGCAGATTGAGGATTAAGTGGTTATTAAGAATCATTCTTCTTGTGTTACTGCTAGCCATCAATAATTTTAAAAAAACGTCAAATTTATGGTTGGCCAGCTTTCCTATGAATTGCCGTTACAATGCACCATATTCTTAACCAAGTAACCCGTAAGTAACTTATTCCGGCAGAATGGGCTGACCAAGAAGAAGTCCTTTAGAAGATGAAAATAACTGATATTTTTCATCCAATAATGAAAATGCCACCTTTACGGACTGCGAAGTAAAATTTCCCTGCAGACTTTTAATTAGCGCCACTAAAATGCTACCAATTACAGAAGAAAGTGTGTCATTAGGATTGTAACTGCTAAGAAAGAACAGTCCCTTAAGTTAAGTTCATGTATTTTAGAGGAAGATATTTGTCCAACACTTGAATTTGCTTTAACAAGACCATATGTTAAGATAGTCTGCGCGCTGACCGTCAATTATCGTTAAGTTATAGCCTGCAAAAAAGTTTTCGTCGTTTTTTTGAGGGATCTGCTTTAAGACTTCTTTCTGAAGAATAGTATTAAATCCAATCTGGAGCTGCAATCTAGCGTAGCTAGTGGAATTATCAGTTCACTTACCCAAGTTCTCTTCTTCTCTAACTCTGAAAGATAAATATCTCTGAGTTGTGTTTTTTGCGTACACTCCTCAACGGTTCACTCTTACACGCGTCACGTACCGTTTGACTTGCGTAACCCGATCAAAGCGCGCGCAAGTTGACACAACTTTGCAAAACAACGCGCGCGCCCAAGGAATCGTGATCACCTGTTGAGTCTCCCACGGCTATGTCGATTTCCACGCAATGGCTGCAAAAATTTGAGAAAAGCTACGGCTATCATTCGACCAAAAAATGAGTTAATTCTATTTATATGTGATAACCGTTTTACGAAATAAGTGTTTAATTGGCCCTACTTTTCGAAGAACATCTTATCCAGTTTGAATTTTTTTTGGTATTTTTGCCTGAAATTTCTGACATCAGCTTTTATCGGATCGATGTCAAAAGTATGAATCAGAAAAAATAGCCAAAAATCGTTGGAGCAGAAGCCTGTATCTTGATAGTCTGCATAATTCAGATTTGAAATTCTTTTGGAATTTCTAAAACAAATTTCCGTAAGGCAGGTCTGCGAGGAAATCTCACCGAAGTCGGGGTGGACTTATGGCTTGCCAACTTTGTTGGAGAGGGAAGATGCCTTCGGTATATATAAATGGTCTGCTCCTTATCACAGTGGTACTGTGAAGAGGTCAGAGAGTATCTTCACGAACTTTGTTGAAAAAAGAAACTATACCAATTTTAAAATTAAGTTGTTCTATTTTTATCATACCAAAGCAGCACACAGGTTAGTCTAGTAATTAAACATTTTTGGTTCTGAGTTCAGGTGCAGAACATCCCTTGCTCAAGCTTCGTAAGTAATTCATAATTGTCTCAAAGTTTTCTGTTAGTCTTTCATCCATTGTGGTAAGCCGGCTTTCTAAATTCTCTATTCTTAGTTCAAGCATTCTAAATTCTGTGTTATGCGAGCACTGCACTTGAGCGGAATTTAACTGTGATATTAAGGAGGGAGATGCGGTGTTAACAGATGGCATTAGATTATGGATTCTTGTTTTACTTCCACTGTCATGCTGTTGGCAGTTTATATCCACCCCAGTTGAATGCTCTTGTATCTGCGGAATTTGGCCATTAACGAATAATGTTGCTGACCTCATGCGATCGACCCTATCCACTTTGCCATGAGAAAAGAAAGTAGATCGTGCGTTAGACAATCTTCGCGGATAACCTGAGCTGGTTTCTTCCGCAGACAAAACGAACTGGACTATTTCTTCCTCCTATAGAGATAAATTTAGAGATCAAGCACATTTAGTTATCTCTTCCGGTTACTGCCTCTTAGGGTATGGACTGCGATGCAGCCTGAGAAAACAAACCAACATTCGCGAATACGCAACTGGTATCACCACAAAATAAAGTGTGACGCGCAGAAATTCCATACTGATGACGCGTCACTACCCAGATCTGAGTAAGGCTTCTGATTTTGTTGAGGCAAATTTCCCTCGAGGCACGACCAATCAGAAGCACTTCCCAGATTTGTGTGGTGACGCGTCATCTGTATGAAATTTCGGCGCACGTTTCAAGAAGGAAAAAGCCCTGGAAAGGAGTTTGTTCTAGAGGGGACAAAATTACAATATCCTCAGACACAGGAAACTGTTACAAGGCAAAATGTTTGCTTTGTTATGTTCTTTTTCCCTCACGCACACAAAAAATAGAATCCAATACGTTGTCTTACATTGGCTAAACTGTTGATTCTATATGCAGAGGCATGTTGCGCAACTATACCCAAGAAAGTCCACACATTTAAGGGCGTCTGTTTTAGGCACTTGAGTGCTTTCCGCTATTCTCTCAGGTAGAAAATACAGCCACTGCTAACCAAAATACAATTGGCCTGTTCCAGGCGTTCAAATAATAGGGACGGTGCAACGAAAAGTGAAGAGGAAAAACAGCGAGGAACAGGCTATAATATTATAAATTGATCTCACCTCCGCTTCAGTCCCCAGGTTGTACGCCAGCTCCAGATGAGTTAGAAAATCTTCTCGAAACGATGAGTAAGCCTTTAGCACCGCAATCAAATCACTCCAAGCAACTGAATGAATTTCGCCTTGTGTTTGAACGCGAAGGCTGGCATTGGCTTGCGGAATATACAGACTCTTAACTGTACTGTAATCACAGCTGATGACGTCACCTTTACCTGTCAAATAAACAAGGTTTCAACAGCTAATAGTATCCAGCGATATAACTTTGTTTAGAGAAAAGAAGTGTGACGTCACAAAAATTCAATTTTGTGAAATTATGGGATGGGTTGGCACATTCGGAAAGGACAAGATGAAAAAATTATTTTGCCCAAATCAGCCTGTTGATGTCTTGGATTGTAACTTTTACGATCGAGGCCTATTTTAGAAGGATTTGTGTGGAGTCATCGAAGCATAAATAAAAGTATGTATACCTCCCCAACAATTTGCATCAACAGCCGGGCGGATTTTTGGCAAGGGGGCTTTTTTCATCTTGTTCTTCTGAATATGCCAACCTATCCCATAATTTCGCAAATTTACTTTTTATGACGTCATCGCTTCTCCTCTATTGTAACTGAAATTTAAACTATGTATCTCAGTTAAAAAAATTGTGATAATTTTTTATTAGCCTTAAGTTCCTTGGTGAACTTCCCAAAACGAAGTTTAACTTAGGCCGCTGTTAAGCAAATCTTTGGACTTCCAGATATCTCCCCTAGTGTGTTATTTTAAGAAGATAAATGCTTTTCTAGAGTACGCTATTTGCTATCATGAAACTAGTTAGGATAAATGGTGTTGGGATAAAAGCATTGGGCAAAGTGAAAATGACGCAGAACACTGGCTTAACTCCGTTTAAATAACTGGCCCTTAATATTTCAAGCTACTGATGGATTCTTTGGATTTTATGCAGTTTTTGCGATTAGTTTAAGTACAGTGACCAAGGTAACTGCCTCGATGTGAGTTTCACAATCGGACACAAAGTGCGCTTACTATTTGTCAAACTGGCCGGCCAGACCAGTCCAGTTGTAAGGAGAAGTCTACTATTAATCATGACCATATAGCCAGATCATCTTACTCCTAAATAATGTGCTCGGGAGTGACTGCTTTAGTGGAAACTTCGAGAAAAGACTAAGTGATTTCATTTTTTAAATGACCGATCTGGCGATCTCAAGCCGGCTAGTTCTGACTTCTGGAAAACGTCCTAGGTTAAACCATTATAGAATACTGCTGGAACCCACCTAATGTTAGCACAGTCTCGTCATGTTTTACCACTTCAATGTTGCCTTTAGCTATGAAGTACAAACGTTTAACCTCATCTCCTTGTTTTATGATTTAGTGTCCTGGAAGATAATGTCGGATTTTAAATCTCAAAGCCAGAGCACGAAGACATCCCTCTGAAGCAGTTTTAAACACGCCACATTCTTCGAATAAACCTCTGTGTAAATGGAGGCAGATGTCTGCCTGAAGCGACTCTGGAAAACGCTTGATTACCTAAAAACAAATTGATAAAGTAAATAATGTGTGTCGTTTCTATTCCAACCGTTTATGACTGTTAGTATATAGATTAGCCAAGGATAAAAGCGAAGCGTCCATTTTTATACTTTTAATTACTTAAAACCAAAATAATAAAACGAATAAGCTTCAACCTAAACTAAGAAATCCAGAAATTTGTTCTTACTCTTAACTGATTAACGAAAAAAAGAGAAAATTATAAATTAAATCTGATCACAGTACTGATAGCATAGTCTTGGAAAAGAATTCTTAGCTAAATGTCTGTATCAGTAAAGTTGCCACATAAGGATTCGTGCGTCTTACCGTTTCCATGTCAACGCCTTTGGTGTAGGCCCACTCGTGTCTGAAATATTTCTCTAACTCCTCCCTAGTGAGCTTGGGAATGTTGTAAAAACGAACGAAGTCCTCGATCATCCTCAAGTTATCATGAAAACGTGACGTTCGTGAATAAAGCCGCTGAATGATCGCGGTTAAATTTCCAAATATGAAGGCGTACAGCAAGGCTGGGAAAATCAAGAATCATTGTACTTATAAATATTGGGTTACACGATTTTTTGTCTGAGGATAAAATACGTAACTGAAAAGTGGCCGTTTAGATAGAAAACTGGATACATAAGCTGCTTACCTCCGAAGATCATGACACAAACCGAAAATACTTTTTCGGCATCAGTGTTCGGAGAAACGTTTCCAAAACCAACGCTTGTGAGACTACTAAGGGTGAAATAGATAGCAGTAATGTAGCGGGTAGATAGGCTTGAGTTACTACTAGTGAAATTTGTTCCATCGCCATACTGTTGTCTCTGAAGCCTTTGTATCCAGCCGAATTTATTCTGTGTCTCTGAAAAACCAATGGCGTGCCAGACGCATGCCAACCAATGAGCGATGAGAGTAAACAAGCACGTAAGCAGGATGACTACTGCGGTGCCATACTCCGAGTAGCGGTCCAGTTTTCGCGCCACACGTACCAATCGAAGAAGGCGCAAGGTTTTCAATAGTCCAAATATAGGTGTAGTCTGAATCGACAAATAAATTTAAAATTATCCAGTAAGGTTTATTAAATTTAAGTGAGCAGCTCTTTATTTACTCTTAGTTTGACCAGTTTACTCATAGTTTTCACAACAAGACGCCGGATAAAGAGTGGCTAACGAGTTTTTAAAAACCGCAATTGCAATCCGTTTTAATCTTCTTCAAGTTTGTCGACCTCTGTCTTCTTTTGAGTTTGCTGTGTTATTCATACCATCTTTTTTACGTTTGGAGCTGTTGATTTAAATTTATGATTCACTCATTATTTAGTGCTTGGGCTTTTACTGTTGAATTTTGATAAGTGTCGTGACACAGCTCAATCTGTTAAATCGTTAAGCTAGAGATTCCACAAAGTGTCACTGGCCGCCCTCAACTTAGACTGCAAGCACTCCCTTATTTTTCTCAGTGATAGTGGAGCAAGTAAAATTCGAAGCGCGCGTGAAAACATTTGCAAGCAAGGAGGAAAGCAAAACGCGAAGGGAAGAGAGAAGCGTACTCAATTGTTTGCCTTGTTTCGCTATCCCTGAGTAACCTTAAGCACTATTTTTAATCTGCTGTTAGGGTAGCGTATCCAAAAAGTGGCTTTTCTTCTACCATACATATTCCAGATGGAATCAACTTTAAGAAATTGTAGTTTTATAAGACAGCGGAAAAACCGGAGTACTCGAAGATAAACCTCAAGGGGCGAGAAGGCCGAACGAACAACAAACTCAGCATCCGCACAAATGACATCACCTCCGGGATTTGACCCAGGCGTTTATGGAAGGAGAGTGCTCATCCCTAGCGCTGCGCCAATAGCCGTAGAGACCTTTAGATTCTAGCTAAGACGAGTACGACTACGAGGAGGAGATTTCCTTAATACTAAGACGTACGCGCGCTTGAAACAGTGTCATTTTTAGTAGGCGGGAAAACGTTATATTCCAGTCTTCATTCTGCTATGAGTTTTAGCAATAATATCGTACTAGCGGAAAAAAACAAGTTCTGAAAAGATAGAAGTTTGAACATTTTGTGATCGGAATAGGGCTTAACCACCTCCAATAACATAACGTTGCTGGCTTTTCTGGTGGAAAAAAACGGTTAAATGAAGCTTTCCAGGATGTCTATTTTTTTGACAATACGCGAAATGCCTTTAAGTCAAATCTCGTCCTCGAATCTCAAAAGGTCTCCAGTATTAGCTGTGGAAAACTAACCAAAACTCACCGAATCCACCTTTTCAACTGGTGATAAAACCATTAACTCGATTGGTATGGCCGATAAAAAGTCAACCACAAACCAAGATTTCAAATAATGCAGTGCAATTTGTCTTGGAGCGCTTACAACTTCGTCGGTTGAAGGATTAAGAAAGGTTGTCCTGAAGTTAATCAAAATGTCAGCTATAAATATAACATCGACCAGAAGGTTGACGGCAAGCAGAGGGGTAACTTCATCGAAGTGTGACCATTTGCTTCCTTGTAGCGGTACTAAAAAGGCTGCAAAGTAGGGAATTTCTACCGCGGTGAATATAACGAGCGCCAGAATAAGCCAGTCCCACACTGCTTTGAAGAGGGAATCATGGCGGATTTTACACGGGTTAAGATGCGTGTCCGGTCGAGGATTTGAACTGGAACTGAGGGACATAACCTGGAAATAAACAAAATACGAGTGCTTATTTTGAACATTTAGGGCTGGAAAGTGTTACAATTACACACAAAAAAGATCGACCACTCTATGGAGAGACTAATGTTGTCCTTATGCATTGGCTCCACTGGGACCCGTTAGCAGGGGTGATGAGGCGTTTGGAATGAATCACGGAGAAACTGAGCTCCCGTACGCCTAAATTCATCGTTCGCGTTGAACGTTAAACGCAGAATCATTGCAACATAATTCTCAATAAGAGGTTATGAAGCCGCAAAAGCCAATTTATTAAAGAAAGATATTTCAAAGAATGTAACAACGATTTACAACTCGTTCCTTTCCTAGACTGCAAAACAGTCCGTATTTTTGCGTATTCAAGTACTCCCGAGCAGTCAAACAAAAGGTCTGGAACGAGGCTGAAAACAGAGAGCGAGACCAAGAGCGAGACTGCGCGCTTCGCGCGCGTAAGACTCTTACGCCACGCTTTACCGATTTCTTTACTGATTTTGAGAAAAAAACCGACTGTTTTCCAGTCTATTCTTTTCCATGTGGCTTATGTGTTTCATTTCAGGCCCTCGGCACAGTTATATAACAATCATTGTCTCTTGATGCTACTGACAAGTAATAGTATATCGGACAAAGCTACACCTGCAATTAGAGATCTTATCACCTTACGCTCATCCAAGAATAATCTTTGAGAAGATTACATCTCTTTCTAAGTAAACACGACTAAACTCATATCACAGAGATATTTTGCCACTAAAAAATGGAAGGAGCTAGAAAATGATACTAGAAATAAGGCAGGCACTAATAGATTAAAAAACAAAATTCGATCGCTCAAGTTTGACTGATATCTGGATATTGGAATTTAATATTAACTGCTGCATGTTTTTTGTTGTTGTTGTTTTTATTGTATGTCTTCTTAGTACGTAGCTTTTACAGTTTTTATCTGATGAATTATTCTATATTTTTTAGTCTTTAATTTTTGGAATATACTAGGGCTGTGGATTACCTATAAATTAGCTGTTTAAGCAAAGCTCTAACTGGAGCTACAGTTTTGGAGTCGCTAGAATGCTACACTGAACTTGAAATAGTGTCTCTACCAGAAACGTAATTACTACAAGAGACTACAATACATTTTTGTTAAAAATGAACATTCCGTAGAGTTAATTCCATGTTTGAAATGCGGAATCGTTCAATCGAACAAACCATATCAAAGAATTTTTGTCAAAAGCGGGTTTTTATATAGTTTTTAGTCCGGCCATAAGGTAGTCATTTTGCTCGAAACTTTCAATCTTCCGGAAGGCTCCGCGCGCTTCGAAAAAGTCTTTCCGGAGCACATGCCAAAAACACCAATATGTCAGATCTGTAACTATGAAATTGTCAAAAGTTCATGTAATTATAACATCAGGACTTACCCAGACTTCTGCTGTTTTCTGGTTCGGAAAGAAGTATATCTCTGAGTTTTGTTTACGCGTGTACACCTCAACGGTAAACTCGCGCAGACTTGCTTACGCACCGTTTGAATTTTACTTCCAACACTTACGTAATCATTTGGCTTCGGGTGCGCGGAGTCTGACAAACATGTCAAGCATGTGAAACCCTCCTTCACCGTATCTTTTGACGTTTTGACATTTCACACTTTGACACGAAAAACGGTTTTTCAGAAAGTGGATGGGGTATAACAGATGCATACAGGCTCTCCCCTTCTTTCTTCCCCTTGATTTTCGCTGGTTCGCTATTTCACTGCTCGCTCACTATTTTCGCTCGTCTGCCCTGACCAAGAGCCCGACACAGGCTAACTCAGAGACCTGAGATCAGGCTTAATTTTCATTTCGCTTTGTAAATAACATTCAGCCGTAGCCGTTTAGAGAATGTATGAGAACCGCTAAAATTGGGCCTGATCTCAGGTTAAGCTCAGTGAGGAAATCACTTTTTTCCTGTTTCTCGCAGTCTATTTTCCACAAAGCCGGCCCCCATCAAAGCAAAAGAAATTCATAAACCGTAAACGCGAAAATAAGCGAATCTCTGCTGACTTTATTGGCGAACCTTTCTCTACGTCTTTTTTTTGCCTCATCGGCACATGCGTGTCATTCTCTGATCAAGCTATCTAAATAAACTCTCTGAATATCGAAAGACAATAACAGTTTCAGTTAACTGTGAAAATTTGAGCCGGACATACCGAATAGTTTTGGAGAAATTATCTTTGAAAAAGTCGAAACTTTACAAAGAATGGGTGGGTTAAAACATTAATGGGTGGTTAAACACGAATTAATTCTCGTACATTCTTTCCTAGCACCTGCTACGCAAGCTAATGTTGAACTAGATGGAGCCGCAATACATCGGTGTAAGACTGAGGGTCCTTTGTAAAGATAACAAGAGGGAGCCTGATACGTATCTCTGCGACATGTTCCGCGTTTCGCCAGCATGGAGGATCTCAAACAGCATCTCGTAAACAAATGGCGCGCCAGCAAAGATCGTTATTATAAGGTCTTGGCATCAAGGACAGTTTTCGTGCATTCGTTTTCTGCAAAAGTAAAATGTAAAGATTGCATTCCTAATAACCCCATAATACCATTGGGTCACGGTATTGTCTATCGCGCTTTGCTGATGTCAACCTATAAACAAAGGTCTTGGAAAGTTCCATGCCTTAGTGAACCAAACAACTAATCTATAATCCCTGGGAACGAAAATAAAAGAGATAATAACAGGATACCCAACTTTAGTGCAGAATTTCGCATCCAATTTATTACTTAAATTTCATTTTTATTTGTTTATTTCAACGATAATTACAAGAAAGAGTATACAAAATTTCGAATATTGGTTCGTGAATTTTCATGTCTAACATTCGTTATATGAACGATCGTCAAAAACATGCTTACTAACATTTATGACAAAGCGCATTTGTACATTTCCTTGCTCGCGGTAAAAATCCGGTTTGTCTTTTGAACTTCTCACATTTAATTTCTTTTCAAGAGACTTTTAGAACCATATAATATAACTGGTTCATTGTTAGATTATGGAAATTATCTCTCTTTTTTTACTTTATTATTTTTATTTTTTGCTCATCCGTTCGTTGTTAAAATATGGAAATTTGATTTAATTGCACTGGATGCGCCACTGCTGTTTACTAATATCTACGAAATATCTACAGTACTTCGATAGGTATAAATGGAGGTTTAACATTTTTATTTTCTGAGGAATAGAACTTCAGTGTGGTTCAACTCTGGACAAAGAAATGACTAAACTTTTACAAGCAAGGCCACTTCTTGACCCTTGTAGATAATGACCGACTCATTTAAAATATCGGCTGTTTGTGATTGGCTCCAGCTAATTCTTCATAACCAACTGGCGCTTACCATATTTGGAAGAGGCGAGCAATATACCATTTAAACGATGGCATATTTGATTGGAAGCGAGGTTGATCGATGGTGTATTTGATTGGAAACGAGGCTGCTTGGCCTATAGACCATCGATCAACCTCGCTGTTTATTCAAGAGTAAATTTGCATAGACGCTGGCCACGTGAGTAAAAACGCTCTATACTCTCATCGACCACAAGCTCTTTACCAATTAAAGCGAGAAAAATCGCTCTGTTTGTTTAAAAATTTAAAATTAAACTGTTCTATCAATAAATACCGTAAAATTCCGAATTTAAGTCCCGGGCCTTATATTTTTCAACGGCCCTTTTTGAGGGGCTTATATTCGGAGGGGCTTATCTACGGAGGGAAATTTGGGTTTACAAATCGATTGGGCTAGCCTTATAGTTGGAAGTAAATTTACCGTTTTTGTGTTGTTTTCTTTGTATTTGAGGGCAATTTTCCAAGTACAAGCCCCCGGGGGGCTTATATTTGGAGGGGCGAGGTAACGGAGGGAGTTTTTGCTTCACCGGTTTGGGCTTATATTTGGAGGGGCTTATACATGGAGGGGCTTATACATGGAGGGGCTTATTTTCGGAATTTAACGGTATTTGGTAAATAGTTACTTGGCAACATTAGTACGAGAGAAGGATGAATACGAAAGAAAAGCACGGACGTATTGATTAAACATTTGTGGTTCTAAGATCAGGAGCAGAATGTCCCTTCTTCGAACTCCGCAAATAACTCAAAATTGTCTCAAAGTTTCCTGATATTCTTTCCTCCATGGTTGTGAGCCGCGTTTCTAAGTTCTCCATCCTTTGTTCAAGCATTCTAAATTCTGTGTTATGCGAGCACTGCACTTGCGCGGAATTTAGCTGTGATATTAACGAAGGAGGTGTGGTGTTAATAGATGGCATTAGATTATGGATTCTTGGCTCACTTCCCCCGCCGCCATCTCCTCCCGTTGCATGTTGTGTCTGAGGAATTCTGCCATTTATGAAGAAAGTTGGTGACCCTGTGCGTTCGAGCCTGTCCACGTTACCACGCGAGGAGAATGTTGATCGTGCGTTGGACAATCTCCGCGGAGAGCCTGGATTTGTCTCTTCTGGAAATAAAAGGACGACCTCTTCATCCTACAAAAACAAATGATAGATGGTTAAATAGAGTGCAACTACTTTAAAGTTATCTCTTCCAGTTCAAACTGTTAACGAAAAGGATGTGATGTGAGTTTTTTTTTTTTGAGATCACATTCCTTTTATACTTTAAACCAACAATGAATATGTTCCAGACGAAAGTAAATTGTCCGAAAACATACAACAGCAAGATGTAACAACAAAAAAATCCATGCAGAGCAGAGACGGATACACGAGTAGCAGAAACATACAAAAGGGGCATCCAAAGGAGATGAAGTCACAATATCCGCAGATCTACAACAAAATGTTGAAGCAAAAATATCGTCGCATCTAACACTCTTTTAAAAATTTGGTCTGTCACACTTCCGCGAGCTTATCGCGATCTCACCTCCGCTTCAGTCCCCAGATTATACGCTAGCTCCAAATGAGTGAGAAAATCTTCTCGAAATGAAGGGTAAGCCTTTAGCACCGCAACCAAATCACTCCAAGCAACTGAATGAATTTCGCCATGTGTTTGAACGCGAAGGCTGGCATTGGCTTGCGGAATATACAGACTCTGAACTGTACTGTAATCACAGCTGATGACGTCACCTTTACCTGTGAAACAAACAAGACACAACAATCCAGATAGTATCAGTAACTTAGTTTGCTAAGAATTCTCATTCTAATTGTTGCAACTAAATTTTTTTTAGCTCGGATTGGTCATTCGAAACAACAAAATCAGTTAGAAATTATAATAAATTCTTAATAGTTTAAATTAAGAGCAATAACTACAAAGTTATCGCGATGGCGATGACTTTGGAGGGTTCTTTGAATAATTTTGTGCTTAATTCGATTGTATGTACTTAAAAGACTAATTAACAATTTAAGGAAAAAATAGAAAAGGGTTTAATAGGTGTTTATTAAATTTGATAAAATGCATCGTCTGAGATTTAAGTTTCATTTTTTGAGAGGGGGTGGGAAGAGTAGTAAAACAATCCAGCAATCCTGGAAGAGTGAACAGAACCATAGGAAAGATTTATGGGTGTTCATTAAAAGTTTCTTTTGAATTCGACTTTTGGCTGTGTGCATTGAACTGAAAAATATCGTGCAATTTTTTTGGTGTAAATTGAAAAAAAAAAACAATTTCATCATTCAAGTTTTCCTGTTTCTTTCTCTTTTTTTTGGATTTCACGTAACCCTCAATTTAGGCGCTGTCAGAAAAAAAAACATATTAGCAAAATACCAACCTAAAGTGAGCATAGTCTCGTCATGTTTTACCACTTCAATGTTGCCTTTAGCTATGAAGTACAAACGTTTAACCTCATCTCCTTGTTTTATGATGTAGTGTCCTGGAAGATAATGTCGGATTTTAAATCTCAAAGCCAGAGCACGAAGACATCCCTCTGAAGCAGTCTTAAACACGCCACATTCTTCGAATAAACCTCGGTGTAAGTGGAGGCAGACGTCTGCCTGAAGCGACTCTGGAAAACGCTTGATTACCTAAAAAAGATTTGTGAGATTAATATGCGTGGTACATCACTTGTCTATTGTGTACAACAATACAGCTAAAACGCCAACCTACATACATACATACATACTTTATTGACTTTCCCAAGGGGCTTTTCAAAGACAATACATGATCCTATTTACAATTAAAAAATGTTTTAAAATATATATAAAATTACAATTCTTTAAGTAATTTAGTACGTAAACGAGTTTTAAAAACATCAATCGAGTTACACAGTTTAAAGGAATTGTCTAAGGAGTTCCATAAGTTCACAGTTCTATAGAAAAATGTTCTCTGACCGGCAGCTGTTCTAAAAAAGGGAATTTGTAAAAGCTGTGAATTTCTGGTGCTACGTCGGCTAACCTCTGCTCGCTTTATGAATTTTGATGTAAGGTATTCAGGGGCTTGACCGGTCATACATTTAAAAGCCATTGTAGCGTTCCGGTAATAAAGCTGACTGGGAACTGAAAGCCAATTTAGCTCCTTGCGAATTGGTGTAACATGGTCAAATTTACGCGCGCCGCTAACAATGCGGCATGCGAAGTTCTGCACTGCCTGTAACTTGTTGACATTACATTTTGAGGTATTTGACCAAACATTGGAGCAATAAAATAACCTGCTAAAAACTAAGGAATTAATAATCATCAAAAGTGTACGTTTGTCGAAGACATGCTTGACACGGTTTATCTGGCCAAGGCGGGACATGCACGAGGAAGCGGTTTTAATTATATGTTCATCGTAAGTTAAATTAGAATCCAAAGTCACACCAAGGTCTTTGGCGGTGTCTGTAGGGACAATGTCCTTACCCATAAAGGAAAGGTAACGAAATTGGAATTTTGCACGCATCTGCCTGCTGCCAAATATCATCAACTTGGTTTTGCCAGGGTTTAGTAACAATTGATTGTTGGAACACCATTCCCCTATTTTAAACAGGTCGTCTTCCAAATCAGCAATTGCATCCAGGTTGGCTTTAAGCTCGAAGGAAGTGATGAGTTTCGTATCATCTACATAACTCTGGGTGCTGCATTTCTGTGGGATCAATGGAAGATCGTTCGTATATATGCTAAAAAGAAGTGGGCCCAAGATGCTTCCTTGAGGAACGCCACTGGTCACAGACAAAGGCTCAGATAGCGTTGAATAGATTCGTACTACTTGTGACCTGTTGCTTAGGTAACTACGAAACCATTGGAGAGTGTCACTGGAAATTCCGACATCTTGCAATTTTAAAATTAACGTGTCATGATTGACACTATCAAAGGCTTTGCTCATATCTAATAGTACAACTGCCGTTAACTTCTTTTTATCGATGGCGTTAAGAATTGTGTCTGTTGTTTCAATGACAGATGTTTCACAAGAGTGCCATCTCTTGTTACCGCTTTGACTCTTTGATAGGGTGTCATTTGATTGCAGATACGAGGTGAGTTGATTATGTACTACCCTTTCGCAAACCTTCGATAAAACTGGTAGAAGTGAGATGGGTCTATTGTTGTTTGCCTGTTCATGGTCGCCCTCCTTTAGGATGGGTGTAACCTCGGCTGTTTTCCATTTTGATGGAAAAACACAGTTTTGAAAGGATGCATTAACGATAGACGTTATTGGGTGAACAATTGGATTAAGACAGTCTTTGATGACACGGATCGGAATTTTATCTATCCCGGGGGCCTTGTTTGAAGGCATCGCTGCTATTATACGCTCTACTTGTTTATAATCAACGGTACTAAGTGTGAACTGGTCAGAGGAAGCGTATTGTCTCGGCACGAAATAATTCTGATTAAGTGTTAAGTTGCATTCATTAGCCAGGGACGTAATTTTGTCAACAGTGCTCTGACCAACAGATACGAAGAACTGGTTAAATTCGTCTGCAACAGATTTGACGCTCTTACTAAATGTTCGCTGAGATGTAGATTTATTGGGGACACACTGGCGGATTGCTTTCCAGATATTATTGGTGTTATTTGGGTTCCTTTGGATTTGTTCAGCAACAAATTCTCGTTCAGCAATTCTAATTTCCCTCTTTACTTCCTGTCTGAAATATCTGTAGGCAGTCCAGGATAGCGGGTCGTTTGTTTTCTTTGCTTTTTTACGCCAATCATCCCTGGTCTTCATCAATCCGCGGATGTTGTCGGTTACGCATGGGTTTGGCTTACAGCGTGCTTTAAAGGTTTTAACTGGAGCATGACGGTCGAGTATCTCAGTAAACAGCGAATCAAATGCTCTCAAATTATAAATTCTGTACAGGGCCCAGTTGTTCGAAGGCCGATTAGCGCTTAACCCAGGGTTAAATTTAACCCCCGGGTTTCTTTTTCTTGTGTTGTTCAAAGCATTTTCTCGGATAATTTTCTCTGTTATATTTAAGGGCATCTAATCATCAACTTGTTGACAGAAATTATTAAACTGTATTTACTTTTTGAGCTTTCAAATCTAAAAAATTCGCACTAACCCTGGGTTATCTAAACCCAGCTTTGAACAACTCGGCGAAAGAGTGTAGGATTGGGTGGAAAAGAAAGTTTCGAGTTTTGTGGGGCTTAGGTCACTAAACCTCATCCAATAAATTATTATTAGAGTTGCTACATATGGGGTCAGGTGTCTTACCGTTTCCATGTCAACGCCCTTGGTGTAAGCCCACTCATGTCTGAAATATTCGTCCAACTCCTCCCTAGTGGACTTGGGAATTTTGTAAAAACGAACGAAGTCTTCGATGATCCTCAAGTCACGATGAAAGCGTGACGTTCGTGAGTAAATCCGCTGAATGATCGCGGTTAAATTTCCAAATATAGAGGCGTACATCAAGGCTGTGAAAATCAATTCAAATCTTTGTGATTGTTGACGTAGAAGTTTAACACTAGACTATACGATGGAGAGGTAATTTTGTTACTGAAAATTATAAAATTCTCAACTGAGGTGTGGCCATTAAGATGAAAGTTTCTGGCCAACACCTAGTGCTCTGGTAGACCTGGTACTGTTTGTTATCCTGTAAGGGGAAGTTCAAACAGTTTTGATCGTGACTTCTAAAACTTGTAGACTGTTCACAGTCTCCTATTTTGTCCGTACATGGTCGAGATCGAGCACCTACCGTTAGAGGCGGCCATCTTGGTTTCAAATGCACCGTGTCTAGCCTGGGAATAAATATGAAATCTACTTAGAGGGTGGGGGACGGTTTGAGAGGAGGGTTCCCGCCACCACCATCAACCCTGACAGCGCCCCCTCGGAACATGTGACATGGCGGTCTGTAACGGAAAGCGCGCGATCTCGACCATCTAACGAGAAAAGGGGTCTGTGAATAGTCTAAAAACTTGTTGAGGAATTTACTCTAAAGCTATTTCAAACGTTTCCGTTAAAAGCAAGGATGCATAATCTGCTTACCTCCAACGATCATCACACAAACCGAAAATACTTTTTCCGCATTAGTGTTTGGAGAAACGTTTCCAAAACCAACGCTTGTGAGACTACTAAGGGTAAAATAGATAGCCGTAATGTAGCGAGTGGAGAGACTCGGATTAACACTCGTGGAATTAAGCTCCTGTATCCAGCCTAATTCATTCCGTGATTCTGCAAAACCAATGGCGTGCCAGACGCATGCCAGCCAATGAGCGATGAGAGTGAACAAGCACGTGAGCAGGATGACTACTGCGGTGCCATACTCTGAGTAGCGGTCCAGTTTTCGTGTCACTCGTACCAATCGCAGAAGACGAGCGGTTTTCAGAAGTCCAAACAAAGTTGTTGCCTGAAATGAAATAAAAATAAGGTTTTAAAATCCACCGAAGGTTTTGAAATTAAAATGAGCAGCTTTTTGGCACTGCTGTGCGTTTGGCCAACCAACAGACGTTATTTACGATACCAGCCATATTTGCACGTACTTAAGGATTTATGGGATAAAAGCAATGTCACGTGGCTTCTCAGGGACAAAGAAAAGACAAAATTTGCCAGTACGCCTAACCGCGATCGAGTATGTTTATTCTATCAAAGCGACACGGTGATGCAAAATGTACAGTTCGAGTTTCGACCAGATTTACGTCATTATTGTTTGCTGTGAGGACATCTACGGTCGCTACTGCCTGGGTACTGCATTCAAAAACGCAACAATGATCCATTCACCCACAATTTGCCGTTATTGTCTTTAAGATGAAAAGTTCTTCATTTTCTGTTGTCTAGAATAAACAAACTCGACCGCCATTCTCGCATTGGCATAGAGAGATGAGGTCGATAAATTGTAGCGTTTTAATTAAGCGGTATGTTGGGGCAACAGATCGCTCCAACAAATCACTGTGTCACTGGCCTTTTCCAAATTCAGGCTGTATGCACCTCTTTGTTTTTCTCAGAGAGGTAAATCAGGAAGAAAATGCCTGACGTGGGAGAGCCAGATAAGCGAGAACAAACGTTGGTGGGTACAAAAAACGCCATCGGCGGGAACGGCGACAAGAGGTGGGATCAGAGAGAGGCCCACTCACTTCCCTGAAGAAACTAAGGTATAGAATTACTATTAAACTACTTGTGATCTATAGTTCCAACAGACAAATACACTAACTACAGCCTCTTACATACAATGCAATCTAGACATCATCAACAGTCAAAATAGACAACAAGCGGTGGGATCAGAGAGAGGCCCACTCACTTCCCTGAAGAAACTAAGGTATAGAATTACTATTAAACTACTTGTGATCTATAGTTCCAACAGACAAATACACTAACTACAGCCTCTTACATACAATGCAATCTAGACATCATCAACAGTCAAAATAGACAACAAGCGGTGGGATCAGAGAGAGGCCCACTCACTTCCCTGAAGAAACTAAGGTATATAATTACTATTAAACAACTTGTGATCTATAGTTCCACATACAATGCAATCTAGACATCATCAACAGTCAAAATAGACAAAATAGAGGTAATAAGATCCTCTCTTGTAGTCGTGCCCCCGCAAAGTGGCCCATCCGTTACCACAATTGCAGATCGAATTGGAACTTACAGATGTCGAAGAGAAGGATGAACCGAAGTACTGTAAACGATCTAATTGACGCCCTTTCTCAAATAAACTCCTCTTGTCTATTAAAGACCCCTTCGACGCTTTTAAGTTTGTATCAGACGCTCCACTCTAATACACCGCGCTCCCTGTCCAATAGACGCCCAGCATGACAATTGCTCTATTTATAAACAGTGGTGATATTTTTGTGGAATTTGTTAGCGATGAGAATAAACAACGCCTCTCTTTTTTAAACGCCTTCTATCTATTGAACGCCCTCGCTTAGGCTCGTGAAATTTAATACTAGACGCCTGGCGAGCGTCTGTTAGACCATTTACAGTAAGGGAGAAAAACTTTCCAGAGCAAGAGAGGGGAATATAAGGCAACCTTAGGCTGAATTTCCGCCGCTATCTCAAGTCTGCTATTTTTGCCTTCCCGAATAGCAGCTGGTAACCACTTCGACCCAGGAATTCCAACCCAGGCCATTTCGGTAGAGGCCAGGGCCAGGTTGTTCAAAGCTGGGTTTAGGGGCCATAGTTCAGTATTAAAATGGAATGCTTATGAAACCCGTTAGACTCTTCTGCTATACGTTTTTGTTAGCTTTTTTGGACCTGACCGTGCACAACGTTCAATAGCATTCCCATCATTTTGAACTTAACCCTTTAAGTCCCAATATCCACATACAAATTCTCCAAACTGATCCTCATACATTTCCTTTAAGAATTAGTTGAGAGAATTTAAGAAAAGATCAAAGCATTTTCTCTTTGGTGATCATTTGTTAATTCTCATAACCTAATCTCTTGACAATGTATGGATATTGTTAGGAGAAAATTGATGTTGGTCACCATTGGGACTTAAAGGGTTAATGGCCAATAGAAACATCGCGTTAAATTTATACAGTCACAATTTGTGAACAAAACACAAAGGATTGTGCAGGGTCAGGGAGCTTCCAACATAACCTACAGCACCGTTGTTTTCAACTTTGATGTTTGCCGGTTTTCCTAACCAGTCTCCTCCACTATCTATGCCCACGGTTAGTGAGAAATTGAATTCAGATACATGAAAGATTAATAAGCAAATTCAGTTAAATTCTTCTTGTCCACAATTTGATGATTGGACGCTCTAATTAGAATAGCGAAAATTATCAGAGCAAGTGCTTTTGAACAAAAGAAGAAAACCGGATTTAAATTTAACGCCGCTTTAGCTCTAAAAGGCCTTTGAACAAGTGGTCCCAATAATCTCAGCTCTACGCCGTCATTTTCCGGCCCCTTAAAAAGACTTCTCCAGAATTATAGCCTGCAGTGCAGGCATTTTCATCGGGAGCGAGCGAACGGTTTTGATCGCGAAAGCGCCATGTTGAAACTCCTGAAGAGAGGAGGAAATGGGGCGAGTCAAGGGGAGGGGGGCTGGGAGAAAGAAGAGAAAACGTCCTCCCCTCCCCCTTCCCCCTCTCCTTTTTTCGCCCTCACACCTACGCTAAGGGTTACTATTTCTACTCTCCCTAATCTTCCTCTGTCATAAAATCAAAGATGGCGACTTCATCGTAGCGGTCCTATTAACAAGCTTTCGCCCACCCAAAATACGCCTGCAGTGCAGGCTACCAGAATTAACGATGACTTACCGAATCCACCCGGTTTTCAACTTGTGACATTACCATATAATCTAACGGTATGGCCGCTACAAAGTCAACTACAAACCAAGATTTCAAATAATGCAGTGCAATTTGTCTTGGAGCGCTTACTACTTCGTCGGTTGAAGGATTAATAAAGGTTGTTCTGAAGTTAATCAAAATGTCAACAATAAACATAACGTCCACCAGAAGGTTAAAGACCAGCAGAGGAGTAGCTTTATCGAAGTTTGACCATTTGCTTCCTTGTAATGGTATTAAGAATGCCACGGAATAGGGAATTTCTATTGCGGTGAATATAACCAGCGCCAGAATAAGCCAGTCCCACACTGCTTTAAAGAGGGAATCATGGCGGATTGTACACGGGTGAAGATGCGTTTCTGGTCGAGGATTTGAGCTGGAACTGAGGGACATAACCTGGAAATAAACAAAATACGAGTTCATATTTTGAGCATATTTTGAGAATTTGGGGCAGGGAAGTGTTACAATCGCAAACAGAAAAGATCAACCACTACAGGGAAAGACTAGTGTTGTGTCCATTAGGACCCACTATATAAAGACTACTGGCACACAGGCATGACTTTTCACTCCATAGACACTCTAGACATTGGTGTCATCATGAACCTCTCTCGCTATCCGGCTTATCAGAAGTCCGAAAGGGTAGAGGACTTTCTCTTACGCTCCCTTTTACTTTTCTTTCTACTCCTCGCCCCATTTCGTACATAAACAAGATGGAACGCTTCATGCACTCAAACTCATCAATCTTCATCTAAATTCGGTTGTTAAAACTTGTAATATTAGCAAAGAATATTATCACAATTAAATACGCAACTTATGTAGATGCGAAAAGAAAGCCTGAAAAAATTCAGGCTTGCCAGGATTCGAACCCTGACCCGGTCTGCGATATCGATACAGCGCGCTTAACAATTTGAGCTACGAAGCCAACTAGAAGCAGAGCAGTGCGTTAAATTGGTGCTTAATATACTCGGAAAAGATAAAGATGAAATGATGCATATATGAATTTCCTGTATTAGAACCACGAAATGAAGAAATATGGAAAGTTGCTATGCAGTTACGCAAAGAAAGCGGAAAAATTTCACGGTCATGAGATGAGTGTGTACTTCCAAAGTCGGTGCTCGTCGAGTACAATGGCGACTCTCATTGCTTGGTGAAATTTACAAGGATACAAGGACAGAATACCAGAACTAAATATCCAAGTAAATCACTTAACGTGGTGCGCGACGTAAAACGAATTGGGAACTCAACGAGGAGTGAAGGAAGTACCATGAACGGATTTATCGAACCACATCTAGATCAATGTTCCTAGCACAGAGGTAACAACTTGATACAGAAGAATCGACGGGGTCGATTGACAAGACAATAGGTCCCTAAGTTGTGAAATCGGTACAAAGTCGGTACAAATTTGGTTTGCAGACGCACCAGTGTTATCTGGACTCAAAAAGCTAAGCTGAGCTTGATAGAAGATGAGCACGAGTATAGAGAGAAATAAAGCCCAAATGGCTGACAGAAGTTAACACCATGAAGTCTACACTAGAACTGAACTAACTAAGATGAAAACGCTAAATTTGTAATTAACAAAACGTGCTTGAAAACGATTTAGAAAATATTACGTATTTCCCAAGTGGACATAACAGAAAATGGCTGGGAACGTGGCGTGGGCTTATCAATAAAAATCATCACTTATGTAGACGATAAATCGATTTATAATAACTACCGTTCGCACGTTCGTGCAATAAGAAGCAGTCACGTTTCAAAACCAACACTTGGTACTTGGTACAAACGTCATTTTTCAAACTGATGACTGAAAATACGGCAGTAAAATATCTTTGAAAGCTGCCCACCTACACCTTCCCTAACTCAACGTTAGCACTGATATCTCACTTAAGACAAAATATTTGGATCAGAAAATACAGTACACTGAAGATTGTGTTGGATTACGCATTCCCTTTAAATTATCACGGGGAACTCAAAACGAATTTCGCTATTTTAAACGGAAAATTGCAAAAAGTGTTTTCCAGGATCAGAATTTTAACCTACAGCAGTAAAATTATCTTTTTTCCTAACGTAACTGTGATACTGAAAAGCCGCTTACAAGTTAGAACTTTTCGTTCACGATAGAAAAACAGAAAAAAGAAGGAAAATATAAAAGTACATCGAGCATATCAGTCACTTATTGACCAATATTCTGAGGATCGGAACTCCTCATGTTCGATCAAATGCTTCTTTGATCCCGAAAAGTGTCTCTTGATTTTACATCAGGCGAGAGAAAACTGGCTTTTTTCTCCGAATGCTTGTCCTTATAAAATCACGTAGTCTTTCACGTTCAGTCAGAGGCTAAAGACCGTCGGCGAAAAAGTCTTATATTTCGATTGATTTTTTTCTTTTTTAAAAAAAGGAGGGAGTTTTGCCCTCGAATGTTTGCCAGTCTTTCTTTTTCCTTTTTTCTTTTAATTCTTTTATGAAAATATTAAAATTAGGGTTGCCACTCATCAGAAACTAAAAAATTCCCTGACTTTTCACCGATCTCTAAAGAATTTTCACCGACCTGACTTAGTTGATTAATACGAACAAACAATCCATGTTTACATTTGCTTGGGTTTTTTTAACTTGTGGATGACGCGTAACGTAAGGAACAAGTTATTGTGGGCTCTGCGATATGCAAATGTATCACTCAGATGTAGACACCTTTCGTAAATCAGTCGGTTCAGCACGAAAGCGCCCGATATCAAAACGACAACTGTCGTAGATCCATCCCGTTCCGCGATGTGCTGATTTTGTACATTTCACAGGAGTCACAAGACCGTGACCACGGTCTTCATGTGGAGTTTGAATGTTTCAACTTAGCACTATGGCCAACTTTGACACAGAAGTTTATGAACTTTTGAAGCTTTTTGACTCGTCCAGGAGATAAACATGACGAAAAGATCAGCAATTGCTCTTCGACTCCCAAGCTGGTCCAAGCTCACGATTCTGAAGTGAGTCTCACGATTATTTATTTCTTATTTTTTATTTTTTATTATTTTGCCACACACAATGAATTACAAGCAGAATAAAAACGATAATGAATAGGTTAACTAACATTAAATTTAAAATTTGTGCATTACTTGGGAGGAGTGACTGTGGCGGGGAAATCTCTGAGATGCCGAGCTTATGAGGAATAGAGATTTCCCCCCACGGGCAATTTAAATACTAGGCGGCATTTTAAGAAATAAAGAAAAAAGTCGTTTATTTAAGTATATAAGTGTGTTTAGAGGAAAATATAGATATGAGGTGTTAAGGTATTTAGGTTGCATTCTGTCTGACCCTTAAAAATGGTTTGATCACATGCTTGAATATACTAAAAGACGGGGCATTTTTGATGTCGTTTGGTAATGAATTCCATATTCTGGGACCTTGAAACAGGATCGTCAAGACTTAACGTCAAGACTCCCAATCTCATGGTTTTGTAGCGAAATATCATTCTGAAATGGAATGTTTCTTTGCTCAATAAAAACGGAAATCTTTACTGTTGCTAAATCGTAATTGATTCTCCTCATGTAAACGCCGAGAATCTCAAGCTGCAAGAGACTTCGCAAGGGTTTTGCGAGACACTTGTCGTATGTTCAAATGCGACGAAATGAGTTAAAGTACGGATTTAACTGTCAAAACCATGCTTGTTTTCCTCGAATATATACTCAAGGCTTCATAAATAAAGTACTACAGGCTTCAAACAGCGTCGACCGGCAGAATTTCATGTGCAAAAATGGTGTAGATGATTAATTTAACGCCAGTCTTCATGTTAGTTGTCCTGGGGCAATAGATAATGGCCGTTGACCTTTCACGTCGGAGGTCCGGGTTTCGTCTCTCGCCATTGGAATTTTTTTTTTTTCCGTTTGTCTTTGGTCCTTTTCGTTTTTTTTTCTTTTCGAAAACCATATTTTTATTTTTTGACAGACTCAAAATATATCGGTGGACTAATTGCAGGTTCATTGTATCAGCTTTCATTTTTAAAATACAGTAATTTATAATGCACAAGTTAGCCTTAGGCACCCTTTGATTATTCTTGTCTTCATTTTCAAACTCTTTACGCTTTTCACGGGATTTTGAGTGCAAGGAATATAGAATTCCCTGACATTTCAATGACTTAAACAATATGAAAGATTTTTCCTATAAATTTTAACAAAATTCGCTGACTTTTCCCTGACCTTGAAAAGTATTTGTTTTTCCCTGAGTGACGGGGACAACTCTGAATTATACACTTAAAAATGGAGTCTTATCTTCTTCTACAAAGTTAACTTCGCTTAATCTATATATCAGCACGTAAATTTAACAATTTTAAGCTGCTTCGCTCGTAAGAGCCTCACGCGAAATCATTAAGAGACCTAAAACACGATTGGCGATCTTGATTACGGACCTTGAAACAAAAGCTATGAAGAAAGTGGCTCGTTTTCTTTGTGTTCTCAAAATTTAATATCAATTTGTTTTGACCTAAAATTTGCCTAAATTGCGCGTCGGCTCCGGTGTTTGCAGATCAAATGTGTCTTGTGCTTTTGACTTCCTGAGTTCGATCATTTAAAGGCAATTATGATCGCTTCTGTTTTATTTTTTCCTTCTTCCTTTTTTTGCGTTTTAGGAGCTTTTTGAATGACAATAGTTGTGTCTGAAAGCTTAGCGATATCTCTGTTTATCTGATGCGATAGTATGTTTAAATTGTAAGCTGAGCTTTGAAAGGAAATCCCTCGTTCAAGACCATGGATAAGATATTTAGCGGGCCTGAAAAAATACTTGATTGTACTGACCGGTTTTTCTAAAGGCATCGATTGACCTTATTGCAAATATTCGAGAAAGAAATATTTTATCACTGTATATCTTTGTATGTTGATTTTCAGTTTGTATACGAATCTTGAATTGTTTTAAAAAATGCAAATCATTGTTCTTGTATATTGACAGCCTGATCTAGATGCTTCGAGCACCTGTTTTCGGTCGGTCAAGGAGAAAATGGCGTTTAGTTTATGGCTAAAAATGTTAATAAAAAAGATAATAATCTAGGGCGGTTTATAATATCAGTCTTGGCTGGTTCACGGCTGCTAAAAATGAAACGGGATTAAAAGAAGCAATATAACAGTGAATTATATGTAATGGAGTACGGATATATAAAAGCTAGCCAAACAGACCATTAGATTGGTTTGGGTTTTATAAAGCTAAATTGCATCACAAACCGTGTACTGACGACGAACAGAGATAAAGAAAATAATATTGCATGAGATTAAATTCAGGATTGAAGGCTACTATACTAGAATGTTACAGACTTGGAGATTATAGAAAACAATATGGCAGATAAAATCGATGGGAAAATACAGTATGTCATTTTTGCAGTCGGCTCAACAAAAGGTCAAAATCATATGATCGAGAAGAAGAATGACTAATGATAGTCGAACTTAATTCAGTAGTTGAATGTTTACTTTGAAGTACGAAGCTCCTCCGACAATCTTTCACACTGAGCACATAAAAAACTGTCTTCTAACACTAGGAAGTGGAAACTTATTTTTTGCAATGAAAGACAAGATAATTCGTATTTGAGACCCTCAGTTATAAAGACGATTTTGATGTGAAAACAACACGCCCCAGCAAGTTTATTAAGGCGATGCCTCAGTAAAATATTCATAGCTTGCTTTTAAAGTCAAAATATGTAATGAGCAAACCCGCACTGCTTATACATGTATATTATTGTTGTCCTTTCTAAAAATAAAAGTGCTTCGATTATTGAGTTTGTCGCTGCCAAAGGGGCTTGTTTAGAGAATCCAGATAAATTATTTTAGTTCAATAAGCAAGGTTTATTAGTCTATAAGTAAAAATAACTACCCCTTTTCTGAAAGTATTTCCTTGACCGTCAAAAGGACTCGCTGTGTGGTTTCCGAGGAATGCAACGAGATCTTGAAAATTCCATTAAGGCAAACAGTTCGGTTAAAAAATAATGAAATGTCAAGACTGGCATAAAGCTGAGTGCTGTGATGTGCTTTTTTCTAATCTCGCTCCTGACCGCAACGATTTACAACCCGCTGAGGCAGAAAAGACGGCGTTTAGGACTGCTTTCTAAAATTACTACTCATAGGTCTTTTTTCTTTGAAAAAAAAATTTGAAAATTTATTTTTTTATAAAGCATTTATTCGTGAAGCTAAAACTGGATACGACAACCGTAAGCCGTGTCGCAAGTTATGATTTTATATTGCTTCGACTCGTAAAATTTTTGTGTTGAATAATTAACTTACCAGGCCTTTAATTCCCAACTGTGGCGCGAATGAGGCATTGCGTGAGCTTAAAAGGCGACGAGACAGAGACATATTGGGCTTCTCGCATAGAATTTAGGCTCTGATTTTCATCCGCGAATCGCTCGCCGCCTGCGAAACCTTTCTGCTTTTCAGGGATGTTACACGACCTCTGAACAGGATATCCGCTGGACGCTACAGTCTGTGACGTCATAATATATTTTCTTCGCGCGCTTCCTTCAAGTGCAGTGGGAATAATTTATTAATTTCTCTTTTTCCTCCGACGGACGAAAACATTCCTTTAAACAAGAAACGGACAACAATCCTTGTTCCCCGAAGTGACAGTGCCATAATTGTCTACACCGCGGTTTTTCCACTTGTCAAGGCGGGATACGTAACGAAAAGAACTATTTTGAATGTTTTGAGATTCGTTTAGCACTGAAGAACAGTTTTTGCTACGAAATTTCAAACAATTTTCTTAACCTGTTTTAAACGATGACCGAGCCATTCCATATATAGTTCTTCAAACATCGTCTGAAATAAATATAACTGTAAATAAAGTAAAACGCCAGGTGGAAATCAACTTCGCCCAAAATGAAGGGAAAAATTATTAATGAAAGCCGATTGTTAATGAAATTTATACTTCAAGACGGACTCAACCCTACAAAATGTGATTTTAAATCAAGTTTATACGGTAGCCTTAACTAAAAGGAAGGCTTAAGAGATGATGGGGAAAACACCTGTGATAGATAGAAATATGTAAGCTTTCATGATAACCATTAATGAATAAAAATAGACAAGTTAACAATATCAACAAGACGCAATTTTTCTATGCAACCATACCTTTCTAATTCCAGAACTAGACAGGCAAACGCTAAAAAGTACTTAACAAAACAGGGAAAAACGATTTACTAACTTTGATTGTCCGGCAAGTTTGTGTTATAATTGGCTATTACTTAAAACGTCCCATTTCAACCATTTCCTTAGACTCCAGAAGACTCAAGAATGAACTTCGTCACAGTCGCGAACTCCTTGGCGATCTTTATGTCCAGCGCACGAGATTGCGAGATCCTTGTATTTACCAGACTATCAAATGATCGCAGCCAAGCGGGCAAAAGTCAGAAAGAATCACCTTTGGAAGACCGGCGAAGACTCATAAATCTTACTCATTTCGACTACCGACTGCTATGCATTATCTATAGAAGGATCATTCATGTGGAGTTGCCCCGCTGACCAAAACGCCAGAAGACACTGGGTAAGAGATTAGGTGGCAGATTCTTGGGCTATTTTAGCTATTACAGATCAGGCTTTAAGACCCCAATCCAAAAGGACCAAGCAAGGATTGAATTAGCTATTCTGAGTGTGTCGTGTTGCAACGAACCCTCGTAAGACATATAAAAGTACAAAACAATTAGCTCGTCCCCGATGTAAGGAATCCAAGACAGTCTTGAATTCTGAATTGCATGCCGTGGATTCCGGATTCCACGCACTGGATTCCAGTTTTTGTCAGTGGAACTTGGATTCTGGATTCTAATGGTTAGTGGGATTCCGGATTCCTTGAGCTTTATTCTGGTTTCCACGAGCAACTTTTCCTGGATTCCAGAATCGTGATTCGCCGATTCGCTTACATGGGGCGAATTAATTAGGTCAATTAGCACTGAGTGGGCGTCACTGCACGCGTGGCCACACATCCACAGCACCTTTCACATGCGCAAAGTCTACTTTAGAAGCTACAAAGTAAAATTTGTTAGCGAGGTAATACGTAAAATCACTTTGCTGATCCTCGTCACAGTCTATGGTTAATGCATTAACATGTCTTACCGTTATTTTATCGCTTTAGTTTACTTAATTGTATTTCACTTATAATAATGCACTTCTTTCGAAGTTTATTGCTACCATTTACTCCACTTACAAACTGATTTAACTTGGGATATTCGCCTTTAACTGATTCTTAGCCTTTGAAATAATAAAGAAGGAAAGTATGAAATCTTATAGTTAAAACCACTAGACTGACTAGAGTTCCAGAGGTTGTAAAACGAAAGAAATTAAACTATGACAGGGCTGGAGCTGCGCACTACTATCCTATATATAGGAAGCAAATCCTGTTTCGTGTTTTCTTAGTATACAGTCAAACCTCTTTTAAACGGACATGCATTACGCGATCACCCTTTAGCTTTAGCTAGTAAGGGGGCCCTTTCTTATACATAAAGTCTCGAAAGTCATATCCTGCAAATGGCAGACGTTTCTCCTCGCTCATCGCCGCTGAGGGACGTTTCGCCAGGAGGAACGTCTGCGACTCAGCGACAGAAATTCCATACTGATGACGCAAAATCTGTTCGGAATCCGGTCAGAAGTGCTGATTGGTCGACGGAGTAGTCTCATTGTTCTAGCTATTGTTTACGAATGACAGACAAGAGACTAAAGGCGGCAAAGGCTAAAGGCGGCAAAGGCGGCAAAGGTCAAATGTAAATCTCTAATAGTCAATATTTGTGGAATATAGTCTTCTCTAGAAGAAGCATTTGAGTTTTGCTGGAGCTCATTCGTCGATGAACACAACACTTTTCCAAAATCGACCAGGAGAAACGTAAAATTGAACAAATTTTCATTTAGAATCCCAGGAATACCGAATTTGTTATGTAAGCATTGATTTACGTCATCAGTATGGAATTTCTGTCGCTGAGTCGCAGACGTTCCTCCTCGCGTAACGTCCCACAGCGACGATGAGCGAGGAGAAACGTCTGCCATTCGTAGGCTACGAAAGTCACTTCTCATAATTACTGACTGACCTGTATTAATTATCAGTCACCTCTATTAAGCTGTTGCGCTCACCTTTTACGTGGTCCCATAACGACTTTTTTGTTATCGTCATTTGTCTGAAGTTAATGCCTTTTTCTTTTTTTTTTAGACTCGACTTAATATAAATTTCAATCTGATTTTAAATGCTATTCAGTTAATACATTTGATACAATTCGAAGTAGACAGACTGCAAATTATATTAGTTGCCAAAAAAATATATATCTACGTGTTACAACTAGAAGACAAAAAGCCTTTGACTGTCAGAATTGCAAAGATATACACCACAACTGCAGCAATCACTTCTTTTCTTAAAGTCTGTCTTTGCAGCGTAAAAGTTTCAGGTTACAAAAAGAAACTTAAAACATGCCTTCTCAGGAAAGCTTGTTTAAATTTGTTGGAATAGTCCTAGTGTTTAGCGCTTTTGATTATTTCAATTCTAATTTGCTTAATCTAATGATCTGTATAATTTCTTTTTAGATTCAAATATTTTTTAATTGTAACTGAATATAAAGCGCTTTTGAATATTGTTTATAGAATTAGCGCTATACAAATTCATTAATATTATTAGAATTAATTATAAATATTAGGATTTTATAGATAGCTTTGTTATCAATAATAGAATTATTTTTGTTATTGAAAAATTATTATTACTATTATTATTATTATTATTATTATTATTACTATTATTATTATGTGCATGTCTCACTCCAAGGTACTCCATTGTAGTGCCAGTTTTTTTTGTTTTTTTGTTTTTTGTTTTTTTTTTTTGCAGGGGAGTTACTGGGAGGAAACTATTAATAGAAAAAGCTATATATTACTGTGGATTTAAGGCGTCCCTTGCCTAATGGGAACCATAAGCCATAAATTACCAACATAAATGAATGCAGCAATTAAGGGATATTATCAATCGAGACCAACACAAATGCAACAGGCAGCAGAAACTTTCCTACATTCAAGATCATGTTATTGTTTCAAATTCTTATTTCAAGTAGTTTGGGGAAAGTTTGTCACTTTTCAGAAATATATTGAGCTATTAACAAGGTGGCGACAGCGATTAGCATTTTAAGGACTGAAATGATACGTTGTTATCCCAGCAATTGACGCAAACAGACTTTCCAGCGACACGAGGATAAAGGGCCTTGCTAGAGTTCTTTTATTGAATTCGAAACGTGGGCGCTTTTCCCAGCATGATATTACATGATTTGCATTTTGAAATAGAATTTCTGAAGACTTATTTCCACGATAAGCATATTTAAATATTGGCTTTAAGTAATTATTGAGGACTCTCATGAAATGAAGCAAACATTACAAGAAAGGTTACCTCGAAAATTCAATGTTAAAATACAAGATCGTATAACAGTAAAATGACAAATAGGATTTATACTTAAGCGAGCAAATTTCTCAGCTCTTAAAACCAATCATAGTCACTAAAATTAGCTAAGCAATCGGGACAACTTCTGACTGGTCTCGAACCAAGCTCCGAATCTTGAAAAGTCCGCAGGATTATCATCAAAACAGGGCTTAAGAATACAATTGAAGATGATTAAATATCAAACAAAAGTTCAGGCTACTTTTTGGATAAAGTCACCTTTGAAACAAAGCTAAGGTTTACGTGCGATGGTGAAACAATAGTGACAACATATGCTAACCTCAGTCTTCACCAACTTCCAGCGTGCCATAGCCGATCACGTTCTTCTTTCGCCGGGAATCTCGCAAGTGAACCAGATAGACCTCCTTTTCTTATGAACAGCGAGCTTATAGAAATTGCCGAATATTTCAGAAAAATGAGGCGGCTTGCATTTCCAGTTGCAACGATCAAAATTCGCTGTTACACGAACGACAACTGGCATATGTTGTTTTTGCTGAAACAACTGAGAGCCAACAGAGAGCCAATGGGAGCCCTTAGGGCCGTGGCAGATGTTGCGATTAATTAAGGCGAATAAAAGTGAATATTGCGAACTAAAACTTCCATTTGAAATATCATAAACAAATGTTTTTATTCTCCCAGGCATTTTTCTTCTATTTTCGAGGTCACCTAGCTCACTTGATGGCTTACTTTGTACGTTAACTCATTTTTCAGTTTATGCAGAAAAAGGAATATTTTTGTTTTCTATGTTGAAACAAACCAGGAGCCGAAAATAGTTAAATATCTCAAACAATGCGATAACATTGTATCACTTGCGACAACTGGCAGCCAACGGTTAAAAGGAAGTTATTTCACTTTGAGCGTATTTTTGCCCCTTCGTCAAGGTTTTTTATGTCAAAACATGAACAGAAGT